CTTAAATAGATTATGCCTCTGTAAAAGTACTTCACATTTATACAAGAGCTTTCATACATGAAATTTCCATGCAGTAGCTCACAGGCACCTTAGCTGACTTTATGGACATGTGTGTTGATACTCTTTGTAAGTGCTTTCTTCCAAAATGAAGCCTTCTCTTGTAGATGATTCATCATAGGCTGCAAAAGTGTACTAAGGAGCTCTCTTTGCCATTATCTCAAAACATGGGTCTTTTCACAAGGGTTAATTGCCCCAAGTGCTGTGAAGAGAGACTCCAAATGACACTAAAGTGTATATTCTTACAATCATAAGGCTGATACCAAACCCTTCCTATAGCTGTAATGTCATAATTTTAAGAAAAAAAATCCTAGGTCAAGAATTTTCATTATCCAGGTTTGGAGTTTTAAGGAGTGCTACATAAAAATCAGTTACGTGGCTTATCTTCAGACATCTCTCTTGAATTYAGTCCTCTTCTGAAAGATAATCTTCATCTCTCACTTCTCTGTATTGCATTGAGGCCTCCCCCTCTGGTTCAAACCTGGTCATTTTTATATTCAGTCTTTCTGCAAGTTTCTGTGCTGCAAGTTTGGCTTGCATTTCCTATTGAAAAAAAAAATCAAGTTAAGAAAAGCATTCATTTGTCAAACTTATCCTCATCATCAGAAGAATCCTCTAAAGGAAAAACTTGTCATAATACTATCAGTAACTAGTTAACTTTCTAGTAATTATTGGAAAGAAAAAAACTTTAATACATTACTGTGCTATTAATTTTGAAGACCCTTTTATGGCTGTGTGACGGGCATCATCTGACATACACTAATGTCACCTCTAAAGGAAAAAATCATTCTATGCAGGAGAGCAGCCTTGCGCAGGAGCTATGCAGCCAAGAACAAAGCCTGTCACTCAGCAAACAGTCTTGTTTCCATTTTCCAAATTAATTTCCTTCCTTCAAATGACAAGAAGATTAAATTAGCATATGCTTGAAAAATGCTAAGTGGCAACAAACACTTTTACAGAAGTGTTTAGTTTACACATTAGCTCAGCACCATGGGAAGTCCACACCAAAATGCGTTAGAGGAATTCACTGTGAAATCTCCTAAATTTTAAAGAACTTAAAGATATTAAAGAACTTAAGAACTCAAGATATTTCACACGCGGAATAAACTAAGTCAGGTGTACCAGGTGTACACCATGCAGGTGTTCCTGCATGTTCTAGGAATATCAAACTCTAATATGCCTTCACTTATGCATGGGCTATGTATGGGCTATAAACTCATTAAAAAACAAGAGACAAGGCATCTTAAATTTTCAGAGATAAAGCAATTGCATAGCTGCACAGAAAGACTAATGCCAGATTTTGTTTAATACATGAATAGAAGTTTCAGAAGGGTAATTACTTTTCAGACCAGGCCTTAGGTACGTACCTCATAAGCTTCTTTTTGCTGTATCTGAATTGCTATGGACTCCTCTATAGATAATAACTTAGCAGGGGCATGATGAAGTGGTGGTAGCCGAGCTGCTGTGATGTCATTCAAATGTTTCTTATCCCTAAGTCGTCTTTCTTCAGGAGTCATTAGAGAGCCAGATCCCTCAGGGGACTGACTGGATGAGGTACCACTGTGATGATGTGATGATCCACTTTGCTCCCCTGATAATCTATAAGCAAGAGAACATACAACTYGTGAACAAATTTGCAACACAAGGTTGATTAACTTCAGTTTTGAAACCACGTTACTTTCAACATGTAAGAGCTAAAAATATTACATAGTATGTCAAGTGTTACGACACTATACACAAGGTAAAAAGCAGCAGTATATTAAAGAGTTATACAGGTGAATCTTTTTCACCTTTCTAACTCACCTTAAAAGGTTAATTATCCCTTAGCCAGATACAGTTTCTCTGCATAGTGACAATCCTGCAGGTTACCCCTGATAGTAACAGTCTGCCAATTAAGCAGCATATATGAAAGAGCAGCATCTTAACAAACAAGGAAAGCATAAACCATCACTGCTATCCATATAGTATGAATTGTAACCTCTGCAGTGGCAGAAAAGGAGCAAAAGCCGGAGAATAGTAAAGTTCTGGACAATCCATAAGAAAGTCCTGCCAATTGTTTAGTAGTTTTGCAGCTCAGACTACAAAATTCTAGGAAGATTTACACTTTTTTAAATGGGCAGAAGCGCCATATAGAGTCTGTACATAGTGCTGAAGAACCAGTATGTTGACATAGCATGAAGTCGTATGACTTTAAATCTCTGCAAGCATCACAAGAAAATAACTCCACTACACTTGATGTGTATAATTTCTAATTTCATACAAACCAATTGCTTCACGCTCCCTAAACCCTACTCTTTTAATACTTACATATTTGTTTTAAACTTGTTTTTCTTGACGATGGGGTTCTTGGCTCTGGACTCCAGCACTTCAATATAATGGGGCGTCTTGGCATAGAGGCTGCCGAAGACGTTGCCCCTGTGCTTAGCGCCGCTCTGCTCCCTCTCCGCGGCTCCTCCACTGTCACCCGCATCTGCAATTGAAACTTTCTGGAAGGCGTCAGCCAGCAGGTCTTTACTGTGCTCCGAGCCGCCCGCTCCTTCCGCGCCACCCTGAGCGTTATCCTGGGGGAGCTGCTGCTCGCTGCCCAGACCCCTGCGGGCGGCCGACGCGGGGCTCATTTCGCAGAGGCCATTGCTGCCGGTTTCGGGGGTTTTTCCGTCGCCTTCCCCCGACGTCCCCCRGCCGTCACGGGTCGCCGCGCGCTGCTCCTCCTGCCGCACGGCGCGGCCCAGCCTGTCCGCCAGCTCYGCCACCTTCCTGCCGCCATCGGGCAGCCGCGCCACGAACCGCCTGGGGACGAACACAGCGAACACCCGCGCCGTGAGGCGGCCCCGGCCTCCCGCCCGCCCGCGGSCCCGGCGCCCTCCCGCCGCGCTTACCGGTCCGCCAGCAGCCGCTGCTGCCGCCTCAGCATGTCGCGCAGCTCGGGCAGGCTGCGGCCCCGCAGCTCCGCCATGTTGCCGCCGCGGGGCCGCCCGCATGGCCCCGCCGCCGCCGCGCGGGCCGGCCGCCGCCCGCCGCTTCCGCAGCGCGCTGCGGGCCGCCATCTTACCGGAAGGGACGGCGGGGCGGCAGGGCCGCGATTAGTCGGAACGCGAAAGGGGCGGGMGAGGCCGCGGGTCCTTGCGTCGTTCCCGCCGCGCCCAGAGCCCCGCACAGGCCTCAGCGCCCCCTTTTCCCTCGATAAAGTTTTCCTTGAATTGCGTTCACCTTTAAACGCGCTTGTGCACGGCCTGAGGGCTGGGTGAGAAAACTCCGGTTGCCTTGCACAGGCCCTCCCAGGCCACACAAGCGCCAGGGGCGTCAGTCAGCTCCTCCATCCAACAGCAGCACTAACACTAACGCTAACACTAACGGCCCTAGAGAGGTGGCAGGTCTCAGCCTTGTTAAGCTGTTCCCAACAGCCTAAGCATCACACACCTTTACAGCTATTGTAACCTTGCTGATATTTACATGTCCCATTTTATTTGGARAATTCTCACATACCTCAATTTTTACATGATTGCTGCTTGGTGGTTGATGAACATCGAGTTCTCCTCTCTTTCAAGTTCTAGTGCTTGAGCTGGGTGGGAAGGCCATGACTCGCCAGGGCTTCGAGGCAGCTGTACACACGTAGAGAGCCCCACSTGCTGGAAAAGCTTGCTGAGCAGGAACGAAGTAAAGCGTATTGAGTATCACCAAAGTCCCTGCATGTAYGTCGTTCTATGGAGCAGTTATCTCCTGTACAAAGCTAGGGACTAGGGAGAAAACTGCTTACCTACTCAGTTTAGCTAGCCATGTATAAAAATTTCATACGTCTAAAACAAAGATTTAAAGCATCTCACCAAAACTTTAGTATGCAACCCAAAAATCTTATGTTGTAGACTTTCAGYGCATGGCCCATCTTGGCAAGATGTGATGAGAGCCTTTTAGCAACCTGCACTGAAAACACATACACAGGGAACCATTAGCTAAGTAAAAAATTCACACTCTTCAGCTAAAGGTTGCAAACCAGTAACATTGTAATTATCATCTATCAAAGTCATCTTCTTAGTTGAGATATTGCTTGTTTCATTCCGACTTTTAAGAGATTTATCTCTATTACCAATAAATGGATAAGAAATGAAGAAAAAGACTATATTAATCTCATTCTCATTCTGCTGTAAAAGAAAGAACATCCCAGATGTGCTCAGATATTACCTGTGGGATTGGGAGAATGCATTGTTTTGGAAGCTACATTGCCCTGTTCTTGCTTATCCAAYGCAGTTCAATAGCTCCTTATTTGAAAAAAAAAGGTGTTCATCTACTTCTGTTACTTGGCTTTCAGAAGAGTTTTTGGTCTTTAAGGAGGGAGTGTCTTCCTGTTCTTAACAGCCTGTCTGCCAAAGAAAACACTGACAAGAACATCAAGGCTCCAGAATAAACACTTCTGTGTTCATATGTCTTTTGAAGGCACCAGACAATGTACTATAGCTTACAAGTTTGTAAGGGAAATTTATTTCTAAATGACTGCTGACACAATAGAATAGAAAGCTTAAATACAGTGTTTATTGCAATTTATACTTTTCACACCCTACATTCAAGATGTATTAAAAGCATACAATATAATGGCATTATTTRTATTTATACAGCATATATGAAACTGTATCCCAAAATACTTTCCAGAAAATCTGGACTAAATCACAGAAGAATACATGGTACAAATGACGGAAGTCATACAATTGACTTTTGCAATTCCCWGAGCCTACCTGTATGGCTTTTATTGATGGCTGCAGAAATTTTACTAATTTCTAATGTTATAGTACTTAATCCCAAATTGACGTCATTTCTACTGGTGTTTACAGGCTTTTCAGTTAGTTTTGTAACTACCTAGGCTAACTGTCACTGCTGCTGATTTGACTGGTATACTCCATATTCTCATATACCACACTTATGTAAATACTTTTTCTTTCATAATTACCACATCAAGACCACTAATTCAATCTAATGATGTTCATCCATCCCACTGCATATATATAAAAATATAGCATTGGTTTCAGCCCTAATTTGGTTTAGAAAAAAAAAAYGCATATTCCATCAAACAGTTAGGACAGATTCATACAGGAAAAATTACAAGAAAGCTTCAAGGTCTTGCTGCAGAGCATCATTTTGCAAGGCTCAGAGTTAGGATACCTTGCAATATGTTCAGACAAGATCCTCATGACTTTATTAAAAGCAGAATGAACTTCCTTTCAAAGTCTGTATCAAAACGGCATTTTGATATTCCATCCTGCTCTCTCCTGACATTTACTTAGTACCTCATAATCATCAAGTTTTCTCTATTTTGGTCAAAGCCAGACAAAGAGATAAAATATTTTTAGGTATTTAACCTTCAGTTAACATTCTTCACAATCACGAACAGTTTAGCTTATCTATAAATTTAAGTTTTATCCATCCACCTTAAGTTTGATGGAAACTTTCTGAAACTATGGTCAAGAATTAAACCCCTAAAATACAACTGGATTATTTTGGCACATAGGATGGTAAAAAGGATTATGTATGATCTGAGCCTGTATCCCTAATTGACATCAGCATGCTCAGTTGGGATTAGTCTTCAGGTTCTTTCTCCTCAAAAGCAGGCTTGTCCTCATATTTGCTGTTAGCAAACACTAGAGGGAGATAAGATCACAGGTAACAAGGTTTGTGCCTGAAATTTGGGTTGCATCATTCCCTCATCTTTTGGGCTCATGAATATGCACTACCAATTTGTTGGCACAACCAATGTTGTGCCATTTAGATTTTCACTTCTTGATCTCAATTGTTCATATTTAACCAGTATTAACCTGAACTCAGTCTCTCAAATCCATTCAAGCATCAAATCTTAATTCAAGGAAAAATAATCTAGGCAAGATTAGGACTAGAGTTTCTCTACCTCTCAGATGTTTCTATGCATTTGGCATTAGATAGAAAACAATCTGCTAGGTATAATGAGAGAGTGTTTTTCTAGGCTGCAGAATTCCCTATTCCCAGGGACTTTCTCATCGAGCCTTATCCCACTGTAAAAGAACATTTTAAGCTTTTATGAGTTAAACAGTTTGTGAGGAAAAAAATAGCATATGTATGAATCGATGATGATCGGTTCATAAAGTCTAGGGAAGTTTGAGATTCCCACTTTATTCTGTTCATATATCATCAAGAAATTAATGTTCCTGCAAGGTACTTACACCAGATCAAAACATCCTCCAGTCCACACTTCTTTATTTAGTAGCACAGTTACAGGATAAGCAAAGTTCTCTAACAAATTCATAAAAACATAAAATACTGCAAAGATTACTATTTTAAATATAACTCTATTGAGCTTGAATTTGAACAGGCAGTGCTCAGTTTAACARCTTGCATTAGACTGGAGACAAAGCCAGTCCCTCTGTGAAATCCTGTGGCAAGATGAGTGCTTTCTAGGATCCAACATTAATGATACCAAACCTAAGTTGTTGGTTTTCTACAGCAGTAATTAATAAGAAAAAAAAAAATACCCTTCACTCATGTTGAAAGAATTACCAGGAAATACTTATAATTCATTTTAGTTTGCTAAAACTTGGAGATCTCACAGAATGTAAAAAATACCTGATATATTAAAATAAGTCAGCATTAGAGGCAGTAATTCCTGATGGCATATATGTCAGGGATAAGATTAAGTGTTTTGGAAGAAACGRTATTCAAGATCAAAATTGTTATTCACATGAGAGAGGAACTTGCAATTGCTATAGGCAAAATCCTGTTTAGTGAGAATTCCTTTCTCCAAAAGGAACTTAAAATCTAAGTGACAGGGATTTTCCTGCACAATTACTATTGAATACATCTTTCACTCACCCTATAACTGGTGAAGAACAAACCAGTTCATTCTAAAGTTGCTCTGTGTCTTGCTGTTCGGGGCAACAAACATGACATTCTCCTGCCTGTGCTGAGGGGATTCTTGGAGAGCAGCTGCAGTTGCATCCCTCACTCCCAGCAAAAGGACACTGGTCATTAGCAGGTCTCACTGGTCACAACAGGTCTCTGTGACAGGGATGAAGAGCCCTTATGCTGTGTGAACGGACAARAGGGAGCTCTCACATTAATGCCCATTGCCAAGTACTTTAAGATTTTGCTTCTAGTAGTATTGAAAAAATATATTAGAGCTTCACTGTACAAATAGAATTACAACACAATTGAAGGAAAAAATACTGTACAGCTATACAACTCCTTCCTTACTAGTATTTGAAATGACACATTGCACTACACAGCTTCGCTCAAAGAAGCAATATTGACTGCTGTTTCATCCCACTTCTTCCATGTCCCCATCACAGGTAATGTCAGTAATAACTTCAGATGGAAGTTACTAAAAAGCTGCTTTCAGGATAAATTAGCAAGACTCCATGCTGCTGTTCTTCTCTATGGCTTGATAAAAATTTATCTAACCAAGCTGCAAAGGCGCAAGATATTTGCTTATATTTAAAAAGCACACTGACGTGAAAGCTCAAGATGTACTGTTCTTTGTGCTATATTCCAGGACTCTTTTGAATGGAGTGTACGTCCTCCCCGGCCTTGCACCTTCAGGAGATCTTCTGTCCTCAATATTTGTACTGTTAAGGAGACAAGAAAAAGCTTACCAAGTTTAGCACGACAGTATCAGACAGCTGGGCTGGATGTGCCACTGCAATCAATCATTTTATTGACAGGCTAAAGTTCTTCAGCCTATTGGATATGCTCCTTTTTATTTTTTTTCCTTTTTTTTTTTTTCAAAACTATAATCTGCTCCAACAGTTTACAAATACAATTATTTACAAATTAGCACTAATAAAGGACACTGTGAAAAGATTTGCTATGAACAAGTAGAAAAACTAAATACCTGAAAGGAAGATCACATCCTACACCAGTATCTCTGGTTTCTATATTGGTCTTTGGTTGGTTTTCCATTAAATAGTCCAATTTATCTTGTAATTCTTTATTCTAGAAAACAATAGATTTCAACACAAGTTTGTTATATTTAAATAATAACAATTAAGCAAGTATTACAGCAAATTGACTTTTTTTCCCCCATTATAAAAAATGTAAAAAGATTTATTAAGCAAATAAGATTCAGAGGAAAAAATAAACCAACAATCTTTGTTCAGAAGCCTCTATTTTAAGCACTTATCTTATTTCAAGCGCTTATTTTAAGCACAATACTGTTATAAAGTTGTATATTGAGAAAACTAGCATGAATACTGAGACTTTGTATTACATTCTTTATGTGATCGATGTCATAAGTTTGATTTTCATACTGAAGAAGAGTAAATACATGTAGTAAATATCCATCTGGGTAACATAAGACAACATCAAATCCACTTTTAACGGGTTCATAAAACAATCAAAATAACATAAACTTAAAAGGTAATGCCTTACCTCACATTCTAAGAAAGAGATTTTTTCTAAAAGCTGTACTATAAATAATTCTTTTTCTTTTACTTTCTTCCTTAGCATTTCAATCTGTATAGAAAAACAAAACAAAACATTAAATCTGATGGCAATCAAAAGACGAGGGAAGAGATGTAGATACTGCAGGAAGAAATAGGTTTAAATTCACTGTCTGGCCACTACTGAACACCTTCCACAAACTGCCTCGATCCATGGATTCACTACCATCCCACATGATTATAAGTGTAYATATAAAGACTATACATGCTTACTTACATGCGACAGACTGAACTAAGGAAAATGGCAGGCCTCTGCTGGTATTTACTCTTGTACCAAAAATACATTGCACATGTGCTAGTTTCTTGAAGAGTTTYTTTTCTTGCTATGCCACACACTTAAAAAAAATAATTCATTTCATACGTCAGGGAGASAGAAGAGGTTTTTTACAGGTGAACATGAAAAATAAAGTATGGTTAACTACGTCAAAAATATTGTGGCTGTCCCACATTGTCCCAGGAAAYCTCTTGACTAGCAGAAGTCTGTTCCTTTCAGGTGACCCCACTGAGAAGACAATAGCAACTAATATGCAAACAGACTGAAATTTCTCCTTGGATCAAAGAAAATCATTTATTATTCTCTCTCAACTCCTGCTGACCACAACTCTTATAACAATGGCTCATTAAAAGAACAAAACAAAATAATAGCTAAGCAGAAAATCCAAATGTTACTGCTTTTCCTCAAGGAGATTCAGGTTAACATCCRTTGGGAGGATATTCAGGAGCGCAGTGAAAGAGCAATCTGAGAAGAGGGATCCTTGCCCTCGCTTGCATGTGAGGAGGAGCAGGGAGAATTGGAGCTGACGCCGCTTCCTGGGCTTGGGCAAGGCTTGTCCCACAGCAGCAGCAATGACAGCTGGGAATGGTGCATCATCACTTTGCTCTCCATGTCAAGTAGGGTCTAGTTAGTATTTTTTCCAGCTGTATTTCAATCCACCTTCCTTTCAACTCAGAAGATTTGAAAGACTACTTGAAGTAATATTTGTAATATTCTGCCCTCCTGGGCATGCAAGGAAGCAATTTGAACACTGTATTAGCATGAAAGCTTTAAACCTACCACAGGCTTAACGCAGATGACACAAAGGATGACACAAAGGATTTGAATAGACAGCATCTTACGCCATAGTGCAGGGAAGACCCAGGTGTGATCAAACCTGATTGGATTACCCTTCAAGGAAACATGCCACTTACAGGAAAGTAGGCAAAACAGGAACAAGTTGGTGGATTATATATAATTTATTATATTGAATGAAATTAAACCTTAATTTAGTACATTTGCCTAAGTTACACTGCATAAAGTAAAAGTGCAGTGGTTTCCTTTGAGAAACGAATACAACACGGTTTACAGAACCACACACACGCATATTGCACAAATCCAAGTCTGGAGATGGTCTCGGTTCCAASTAGTTGCATAAAGTGCAAGAACAACTAGCTCATAATAGAGCAGTGGTTWGAACTGCTCTATTTTGGTTGAACACAAGGTAAAGAAAAAGTGAAACAAAGCAAGTGAAATACAATAAGGAGAGGAGGGACTGAGCGGTAGCCAAAGCAGTCTAGTGTCAGACACAAAAGGGTGACCCAGAGAATCTCAAATTCCTTGGACTAACTCRTGAATCTGAGTCACTTCTGGACTGACTCCAGGCCAAAATTACCACCAAGATGTTCTAACATTTTCTTTGGGCAAAGTCTGAGCCCTATAAACCACCTCAGCCTCGTGGTGTCTGCAGACTTTAGCACTTCATGTCACTGCTGACTCAACAATCTGCTCCCCAATCTGGCTTTTGTGCAATTACCCTCTCAGATTTCTTTGTCACTTTCTCTGAGCATTATTTGGRCATACTCCTCAAATTCTTCTCTTCCAGCCTGTCCTACAAGGGTCTGGACAGTCTTTCCCTGGCACTCGTCTCTTCTCCTGCCTTGTATTGTTGGAATCATGAGCCACTGCTTTTCCTCCAAGCTTCTATCAGCTCTTTTACAATCTTTGCATGCACATTAGGCAGTCCAACAAAACTGGCAACCTGCTTAGCAATATGACAGACTTAATGGCCCACTCATTTCTTTGAGGACAACTCCCCTGGCAAAAGCCTTTGAATTTAGCAATCCTGGGCCACATCATCATCCTGTTTCCAGACACGGCATTCCCTTGCCTTCCCCACCTAGCCATATTCTCCACCCCGAGATGATGCTCCTGTATTTCTTCCTTCTGTTGGAGGTGAATATCCCAGATTCTGGGTGTGAACAGAAGCAAGGCCCAGTTGGGCCTTGAGTTGAGAGACTCATGTGGTCTCTCAGTGATCAAAAGCCATCACATTCTCTTTGGCATCTAAGAACAGTCACAAAAAAATGCTAGAGAAGTGAAGAGAGATAGTAGAAGGGAAATCAAAACAATTCTAAAGTAATTATCAAGACAATTCTGAAGTAATTTCAGCAGAAAGAAATACAGTTTTAAAAGAAAATGGAAGTTGTGCCCAACTGTAAAGCTTTCATAAGGAAAGTGAAATAGCAAGCAGTATTTTATTCTGTCTGTGACTCAGTCACGGTACCAGAGGCTTGAAAAACACATTGATCCATCATTCAATTGGAACAGATCCAGCTGTTATATACACTCAGTCAGCATCTACTCCTTGACACTACCATACATTAATCTAAAATCTTTATCAGAACATGACACTTAATATTATATATAGTTCAAGTATTGTGCATTTTCCTTATACRTTGATCATTAATGCATCTGGCATCTGTAACACTGTTACACAGATATGAACAAACTACTCATAWTTATGACTAAACACAGGACAAACACTTATTACATTATACAAAACAAGACAGACAAGACATTACAACATCAGCCTGAACTCTCAGACACAGCTACTGAACAAGGAAAAGAAAATTTCACTTCACAGAGTCCACCATTTCATTGGACTTAAGTGGTACTTATCAATCTAGACAACAGTTTGAATTTTTTTCAAGTATATAACAAAATAGGTAGGAGWGTGCAGCTTTTCCTTTTAATCCCAGATAAACTTCTTCAGTCTCCCCTTACTCCTTTTGTTCTAGCATTTTAAAATCYTATCACATATATCAAAAAATGACAACTTAGTAACTTATTTACATTCTTGCACGAACTTAAGAGAGCTTCCTAAGCTAGTGAGCTACATGAATACATTACATTGGTCTTTGATGTGCGTCTGTTGCTAAATCAGGCCCATAGGGCCTAGATGTCCTAATGGGTTATAAACATCTGCACATTGGCTAACAGTTCAACCCACCTTATTAAGAACTATCTTCCTAATATGTGAGTCTCCTAATTAATGACTTGGCCAGGAAATCCCCTGCTGAGAAAGCTGATGCTATGCGTGTAGAAACACTGTCTCCAAACACAAGCAGCAATTCTATTTTTGCCATAGATAACCAATGCACTGCATTGCTCAAGTCCACCAGGGAATCCAAATGCGATGCATTTTTTTGAGGGGTGTGGGTGGTATTTATGTGCTGCCATTTATCTTTGGCATCTCACTGTCATTGAAATTTCCATCTTCTTATCTTCTCTGTTTCTGTGTGGCTTCTTTTACTTGAACTAAAATGGAAACTRTGCATCCCAAGAATGGGATAAATTGCAATGCATCTGGAGTTGGGAGTATCTTGACAACTGGTTAAGTTGGTTAATTGGTTAACTTATCATCTGGTTAAGTTTTTGGTGGAAAACTTTCTTCTTTATTCCCCATTTGTGTAGTACAAAGTATCTTCTGTATTTGGAATACCATTTTCTTGTTAGCAGGCAATATATACACTTTCATGCAAGCGTCTTCCGCACAGCAGGATACAGCTTCTCTGGCTTTGGTCACCATTTATTATCCAAAGTATCTGAGACTAAAGGTGGAGAACAGCTCATGGGCCATGACCTAGAGACAGTTCAATTCAGTAGTTAGGGGAATTTCAGGTGAAATCTGAGTTCTGTAAATAATTTCTTGCCACGAAATATACCTTCCCTCTTTTACTCCTTTTCTGAATAGCTCTTGTATCTACCCACAAGCCTTGCTTGTAAGTGTAAATGTTTGTTTTCTTCCTTCTCCTGCTTCTTAGCAATGAAACACTACTTCATATAAGCTTTATGTACCATSAAAATACAATTCATTTCAACTGAAAACTCCATTTCAGAATTAAAGCGCTATTAAATCTCTCCAGGTTTGGAATGGAGATCAAGTCAGGAAATATTTTTCTTGTTGCTGATTTAAGTTTATATATTTCTTCTGAAGATTTTTGGCCTTAGCTTACGCTAAGTTGGCATAAACTAAACTCCCCTCCCCTACCCTGGCACAGATAGTTAAACAGATTGACACACGGAATTGATAAAAGAGCGAGCTTTCACTCATTTATCTGAATAACAGCAATTTCATCCTCTAAGGAAATATCATCAGAATAGCTTCCCACATGCTCCTGTACAGCCTCCTTGTTTGCATCTGTCCAACCGAGTCTCTGCTTTGGAGCCTCCTTGGTGGAAGCCTCCTCGGGTGCTTCCACCTTTCCCAGTGGGAGCCCCTGTCACTGCCTGGCTGTGCTTTACAATGGCTACGGAAGAGAGCTCCTGTTCAGGTTATGATTAGGAGAGCTCCTGTTCACATTATGATTAGAAGAGCTCATGTTCAGGTTATGATTAGTCCGCCTACACCAATTCAAAAAGGGTTCTATCAAAGTCCGAGAGGGAAGGATCTGTATTTCAGAGAAAAACTTAGAAGGAAATCATGTCCTGGCCAAGGAGCACAAGCACCCTCAACTGTGAAGTCCTTCCCCATAGGTGATTCCACTCAAAGCAGGTGGCAGATCTGTTGTATTTAATACAGCAATACCTTGAAGGTGGCTCTTTTCTTCCATAACCRCCTACATTTGCTGCTCTCTGCCAGCTTCTCCTTTCACGCACACCTATGTTAGGGGCACAGCCTTCTAATTTCTTTTAAAATGCTATCAAAAACAGCAATGGAAGTGTTAGTGCACCACAAGGTTCCCCTGAACAGCATCTTTCTCAGTTCCTTCTGGCTGCTCGCTTTCCCTTCAGGATGCCTCACATCTGTCACTTGCTTGTGATCCATCATCTTTCCCCTACAAATGGCCKGAAGAGCAATCTACCTTCTGAATTTTCAACCACAAAACTCTCTGTAATTCTCCAGCTTTGAGAGGTCTCCACATGATTCTGAAGCATGTTTGTTCAGCAGACTTGTTAAATAGGGTTAATTTCTGTTGCTGTACCTTGTTTAAATTGGAGGTGCTAAAAACATAAACCTGTTCCAGTTTACTCTGAAGGAAAAAACTCCCATTTATGCTTCAAATCTGTATCTGAACATACTAAAATGAACAAATACCCATCGCTCTAGCCTGGTTCACACAGTRTGTTTTGGTCCAGCTTCTGAGAAAAGCAAATGTTGATAATTTGGACTATTTACTTTCTTTCCACTACTGTTGTGGGTTTCCCAGGTTAGTCTGTTCTCAGTGTATTTTCATGTCGCAAGGAAGATAAGCAAAGCCACCTTTCTAGATGCTTTAGCCATTCTCTCTCAATTACATTTTTTAAATACAAGTTATTCATCATGGTAGTACCTTCAGAAACCTTAAGATAAAACATAACTTTAAAGATACTAGATATTGTTGCAGCAATGAGTAACTTTCTAGATATTCCTAGCCACTACAGGTTAAATTTAATAGAGAGATGCAAGTGCAAATACACTCTGAAAAAACACTTTTCTGAAATTTGAATAGCAGCACAATTCAAAAAAAATCCCCATTTATTATGTAAAATATGTTTTAGTGCTATTGATATCTAGTTTTTATTTTTCCTCCAAAACAGTGTCTTCAGAGCACATTCCCTTTCAACATTCTAGCTTTTAAGTATTTTTGTGCTGAACTCTCAGCAGTAGCGGCATAGTAAGTGATGCTGAAAGTCAACCTAAGAATTCTGTTCATATATTTACTTGCAGAAGAGACACAAAAGCATGACAAATACCATGCATGGATAGCTCAGGGATTTAAATGAATGCCCATCTACAATGCTCTACCTTCTGCAYAGTGGGCAACTGTTCCAGTTTGTAACCAGAAAGAGCTGCTATTTGTAGGCTTTTTATAAAGATCTCAGTCCAAAACAGAGCATAYGAGCTCCATGTGTTTGTCACCGTCTAATCTCATCAAACCTGTGGTTAGCTGGCTCTCTACCCAAGACATAGGTATTGTAGCAGGTGTACATGTAGCTCTTAAGGAAAGTGATCAGAAAGACAAAGCTAAAATATGAAAAACTAAAAGAAAAAATATAGTCCCTACAGCTATAGAGCAATAAAAGATTTCTACAGAGACTGAACTGGTATTGAAAATCAGCTGAAACAAACATTAAACATCAGCTAAAATCAAACATAGTTGAAAGTTTAGAGAGGTAGTCATCTTGCATTTTACTTGTTAAAATAGGAAACCAATGTCTTAAAAGGCTTGCTGTGCAGATGAAGGAATTAATTGACCTATATTACAAGGAATCTGCATGGTAAACTGACTTATTATGACTGACATTTACAAAAYAATCGATTCAATCCTTATGAATGCTTTTGCCAGAACACTTTATGGAATTGAAAGAATTTGTTTTACCAATTCTGCCCACTAGAGGTCAAGTTATACTGAGCCATTTACTACGGACTTGGCAATAGAGAAGAMAGTTTAGGCCACAGTGCTTGTTAGTTATCAGAATCACTATATTTGCCACAGCTAGCACACTGACAAGTCTTCTAGTACTTTTGGTTTGACAAAAGGATAAAATATAGTGATGTTTGGCTTATGAGGACATAAAACAGCCTATGGATAAGTATTTATTTTGGTAATCTATTAATTAGAAGACTGGATTATTAGATTGAAGGATTCCTTAGCAGACTACAGACTAGGTATAAAGAYTGTCAGCCCAGTTGCAGACTACCTGCCATGCTGCTTGAAAATGGCAATCTGGACTAGAAACAAAACCTTAAGTCTTGATATCAATTTTCTGTACTGAGGATATGGAAAAAAWAAGAACTTTAACAGAAAATGATAAATGCCTTTAAGTTACTTTTGCATTCCACTTCCTTCCCTGATCAGCTTTGTATCCCYCTGCATGTAAGACAGGATTCCTTGGTATCATATATGCAACTATACAGAAGGACTGTATATCAGAATCTTATAACCAATTTACAGCAGGATATATGTAGGTAAAAACTTATTATACCACTTCAACAAAGATGGAAAAAGTCCATGTTGAATCAGARACACTTGGACAGCAAATCATGAAGCACAAATATATTATAAATTGAGAAGGAATGCCTTAGATTATGATCAATGCAAAATATTTGGTATTGTGGGCACTTGACAAGCAGACACAAATGAAATTCATCCCCACCCTCAAAGGTCTGTCACTAATGCTGACCCATYGCTGCAATCTCAGTATAATTGTGATGCCCATCTACTTTGTAAAGCTCTAATTTAAACTTAACCTACCTATTTCCCCACTATTTCTCTGGAAACAAAAAAAAAAATGCAAACACAGCCCTCTCCTGACTGCTGGAACAATTCCTTAGCATACATGTGGCCAGCAAGTTGAAGCAACTTTTCAGAAGAAAACTGCTTAAAATTTTATGGCAAATTATATCAGGGAAGCACAAGAGTGGTAAAAAAGTGCTTTTGCCCCTCTGTTTCTATGAAGACATGGGGAAAAAAAAAAGAAAAAAGAAAAGGCTGCAAATGTCTGAAACAGAAGTACTTTTGTACAGGAAGGAAATTAATTTATTTTACTTACTACTTCCTCCCCATATAACCACTCTGCATTATTTCTCGAGTTACCTGCTAAATATTTCAAATTAAGTTGTGTTTCCTGAACTACCATAAAGAGTTCCTGAATTAAGAGTTGGCCTAAAGATCATAATATAAAACCTAAAAGAGCGGTTACATAAACAGGATTGAATTGCTTTCACCTAGTGAAGCAGAACTCATGCTTAGCTCATCTTCTGTTACTTCTTGTAACTATGGAGGCATCCAGAAGTCCCACACATCTCTCTCTGGGTTACATACTGAGAGAACTAGCATCCCCTAAAGACTCAAAACACATTGTTTTACATGATCTCACCTCCTCGACCATGTGCTTGACTTTCTTCTGCTGGCAGTGGACCATATCATCCAGATGTTTGATTCGCTCTCGTAGGCTAGCTGCTACCTCCTCCAGATGCTGTGACCTGGCAGAAGATGAAAAAATTAGGCAAATTAAGTGGGGAGCTATGCAGTCCAAGCAAAACAAACACAACCCCTACTATCTCACCACGAATCAGGAAGACTAGGTCAAGAGGTATCTTACTAACAAGTCCAAATCCATTATCAGATGTCACTTTTATTTGTCTAAAGTACATTTTAATGGCCATCTTTCAGTCCAARTGGCTGTCCCCACCCAGGTTAGCTCACCTTTGTCTTGCATACTGGCTCACTTACTCACAGCCTGAAGTGCTGATAATTAAACAACATTAAACAATAACAAAAGCTCTTCTTTTTGAGAAGTCTGTTTTTCCTTTAAGTGAAAGGCATTAAGTAGATCTCTATCACTAGAAAGGCACACTGATCCTGACCTATTACTACCTGCAAACTTTAGGGGAAATACATACTAAATAATCACAAAGCACATCTGCTGGTGTCCTTTAAGTGCTTTCCAACTACAGAGCAATCTTGGGATTTGGCATAGTTGCCAACAGCAGCAAAACACTAACTGGAATAATATTAACTCATCMATAGTCAACAGTAATTGCTCTGAATAATTTAAGTTTGCATGTGTGAATCTGTAGATAGACCTTGGATTTCTTCAAATCCACTTTACACAGAGGTTGAACACCCACAGGACTCCTGCCACAGGCTCATTTGGCAGCTTGCCACAAAAGTAGTTTTAGAATATGCAAAAGAACAGAAGGCAAGGTTTTTAATCAGTTTTTGGCAAAATGGTCATGGGAACCTCCACTTTTATCTGAATGTAGAATTCCTGAAATTACGGAAAGAAAGTAGTCTCTTGCTTGCAAAATAAACTCCCGTACTCTTAGGTCCTGGGTTGAACGGAATTTGAGAAGTGGAGGAGGGGAATCAAAAACAAAAAAGCTTTTTCATCTTGCTCTGTGAACAGCAGATGAAAGTGCTGAAGCTGCAAACAGAACAAGCATTTTAAAGCAAAGCAGCAGATGGCAAACTGTATGACACAATTCTAATGAATGACTGAATTGTACGCTGTTCGCCCCAAGAAAGAGTCCCTATTAACAGCGAAGTACTCTACGGAACTGTAACTGCTGCACTTTGACAAGGATTTTGACTCAAAATAAAGGCACTGCTGTAGGTTTTTCCATCCTGCATAATACCGCCTTGCAAAATGACMATTTGTGTTTTGTTTACAACTGTTACAGATATTTGGTCTCACATTCAAAKATGCAGAATTGCCTCTGATAGGAACGGAGCAACAGACCACAGGCTCATCCTCTCTAAGAGGATGAGACACAGCAGGGGCTAAAGAGCAGACCGGTAACCAAGAAATAGACTTCAGCATCTGAACCCCAACTGCCTGCTTGCCTTGCRCGGATGGAAACTGCTTGTTTGTTTGATTGCTCTGCATGGATTCCTGCCTGAGCATTGCAACTGCCCTTTCTACTGCAGCATACTTTCCATGCTGAGCAGCCAGGGCAGGCTTCAGCGAAGTGAGAAGAGTACCTGTTACCCAAAGGTGAAGGAAGAAGGCAATTATTTTCCATCTCCACGCTCTGTGTTATGCGCAACATCTGTACACTTGAGGCTGTTATTTTAGTTGGCTGATGTGAAAAGCTGTTATTACCCTGCAACTGGCTAAGCTAGTCACAGACTCACACAATTAGGCCTGGAGATACTCAGGGCAGGAACTTCCTTTAATCTATATAATTCATGAAACAGCAGGATGCCAAAAATCTTAGAAATGAGTTTCTRGGTGACACAGAAATATAATTAGGAAACCAGAAGGATTATTCAGTCTCTGCTTATAATTAATCTTTASCCACCGAAGTAGTGTCATATAATAAGCCTTTTCCAATTGCAATTGCAGTTACTACTACTTCAATGCCAGGTTAAGTTTCTCTTGAAACTTTAACTGCCTTTGCCTYAGCTTGAAAATTGTCTTTGCCTGGCCTTGGTGGTCCACCAGCCATAAAGAAGTAGCAATAGTTGCATTTGTCATCAGTGTGCCCCCCCATGATGCGCCCAGGCCTCACCATGCCACTAGACCTTTCTATGCCTCGTGCTTTCCACAACAACCATTCACAGAAGTCTAATTGCCAAGAGAGTCGCCCTCACCTGCCCCAAATAGCTTCACAATATTTCTGCACTGTGATGCCAGATTCTTTCACGCCTTCATATTATTCATATGGATAAGTTAATGTCCGCTGTGTTTGTGAATCTGCCTYTCTGAGCCCTGTCTTAAAGTGGACCTGCATGTACTGCTAAGCATCAAACATTTCCCTGCTAGTCATCTTYTCATACAGAAAAGACCTCTGGTGGTTTCATTCAAAACTCCTCCACTCTTCAGTAGTTTCTCTCTTTGAAGGGGAAGTCCAATAGCTCAATATATAGCATATAGGATCTCTTTTCTTTTAAAAATATGTTGAACGGTCTAGAATAATATAATCAAAGTATTCAGAGACAGGACTATACTGTATCAATTTTGGGAACTCAGATTTAAGAAAAATGCAATTCACAAACAAGTCAAAGATGAAAGGATATATATACATTTCTAAAGTTTATCTCATAGAGACAGAACAAGTTCCATCAAGAATGTTTGCAATCAGTTTTTCAGAAAAAGGCCTGGAGGTTACTTACAAACAAAATATTATGAAGATTTTTGCAATAACAACAATTAAAAAAAGTTTAAGATTATATTCAGCCAGATAATTTTTATCAAACTACCATTTTAAGATTAGTAAAATGTATCTTCAAAAAAACAAACAGAAAAACAAGCAAAATCTTAAAAGTCTCTTCGCAATGCTTGAAGTTCCAGAAACAAGACAGGTCTCACCTCTCACTGTCAGAGTTGTTTTCAGATTTTGCTCCAGATATTTGTATTTCATTTAGTTCCAATTGTTTTTGCAGCTGGTGACGCTCCTAAACAACAAGAAATGCAATCCTTCAGTTCTCCACGTGTTTAAATGCAGAGGCTTAACTAAGCACATTTCACAGGTTTCATGCAATTCAAAAGATCATTTGTGAAACTAAAGCAGAAACTAATTAAAATTTACAGATGCTACCTAGGAAATCTCCTAGGTAGCATCTGTACACATCTCCTATATCCCAGGAGAACAGAATACAAATAATAAAATCAATTCCCAACTAAACATGAAAATAAGATCACTATTTTCAATTTCCCACTTGAAGACATACAGTTGCTCTTGAAACTGATCTTTTTTTGTATAAAGACCCGAGTCATCACCATCCTTAATTACATGAATGTCAAATTACCCGTGTTATTCCTCCCAAAAGATCTCTCAATCCAAGGCAGAAATAAAATGCAGTACTCTATTTTCTTCCCCAAAACGCCCTTATTTATTTTTAGGTATCCACCAGCATTTTGCTTGTGAAGATCTATGAGCACTTGGGGACTGACTCAACACAAATTAACAGGAGTCTGCTATTCATTTTAATTGAAAGTTGATGGAGGCATTCCATTTTACTCTGCAAGTATTAGCCAGATAACAGCAAATTAAAAACYAAAATGAAGAAGCTCATCTGCACTTTAAGAACTATACAATGCAATCTCTTACTCATTGCAAAATCACAGAATCACAAAACACTTTTAAATGGTGGGCTGAAGCCTAGTTTAAGTCAATGAAGTCACTAAAGGGGCACATTAAGTTATCTTGATACCTCAGGGTTATCACTATTTCAACCAATTAAGCTGCATGARTTGGACAAAAGGGGCTCAAATAAATGTACACTAGACTAACCAGTCAATCCAACAATATTGCCTTATAACAATCTATTTCTCTATAACATCAAATACTATATTAAACTGAAGTTGGTTAAAAACACTTAACATGGGAGAAAAGAGTACTGTATTCTCTCCACTTACTAGAATTTCCCAGCATGGCCTTTACTTCTGTAGATAGCAAGGCCCAATCTTTAAAGATAATGAGATGCCTGCTATTGAATTAAATGACAGACACCAAAATACATGCTAGAGCCTTTTAGAAGGACCATTCTTATCCCTTTTAGAGTGAAACTATTCAATCTAAGGACTAAACAATAACTTTCATTCTCAGTTAGGTGAACTGTAACTGTTAGATACGGGGGACATAAACCCGTTTCAGATGTCTGAGAATATCCAACAAATGAGGTTCAGATAATAAAGTATACCATGGGGAAAGAGGCATTGTGATACTCTGTGGCTTAACGATACCTTAAAATAATTATCTGAAAAGCTAGGTGAGTTTTGCCCTGAAGCAAAGTCCATAAGAAAGAAGAAAGGCAGGGCAGCAAATAAAAAGAAGTTAACTGCTACAACTAGTTTTACAGTAGTGCTGCCAACATCAGAAGAGAAGTGTCTCAAAACTTTTCTAGTTTCAGAGGTTTAAAAGTCAATTTTAAAAAAGTGCTCTCAACTACAGTTTGATAGAGAACATTTAGCCAGGGAGAGAAATAACTGGAATTGTTTTAATGCTGGCAGGAAAGGAAGTACCTAGAGTATGGATTAAAGGCAGAAAAAATGTGTTTTTAACTGGGTTTTTCTCCCCTTYCCAAAATACCCATTCCCAAAATACTCCCCTTACCAAAATACCAGTAAAATATCTGCATGGAGGATTAAAAACCTCAAGGCACTGCCACAAGCCAAAAATCTGAATTCAAAATTTCAAAACCTTGTGATCTGAAGCCATCATTTTATCCTTTCACCCAAATATGGAGAAATTCGGGGGTACAATTCTAATTATGCAGCTATGAATAGCTAAATAATAGGGTASATTCCTAATTAAAATGCCCTTTAGTGGAACTACCAACTGCACTTCTGAGACTTGGAGTGACTAGTTCATTCAGCTCACAATATCTTGTAGACTGAAGGGGGACAGAATTGCCTTTTAAAACTCRTTCTATAAAATGATGGTTTACTAAATAAAATCCGACACCTTAAGCAGCCCTGACTTTTARCACCACAGGACAGGCAAAGAACCACTTAATCATAATGCCTCCTTGATAGGGAGGAAGGGGACAAGCTGTTTTCACTGGTGRCCAGYGATAGGACGAGGGGTAATGGCCACAAGCTGAAGCATAAGAAGTTCCGTCTCCAGGTGAGGAGCAACTTCTTTACTGTTAGGGTGACAGAGCAGTGGAACAGGCTGCCCAGGGAGGTTGTGGAGTCTCCTTCTCTGGAGGTCTTCAAAACCCGCCTGGATGCCGCTCTGTGCCACATGCTGTAGGTGTGCCTGCTTGAGCAGGAAGGTTGGACTAGCTGATCTCTAGAGGTCCCTTCCAACCTTAAATATTCTGTGAATCTGTGATAGCACAGGTGCATATATTTATGAGTACAGCAGCTAACACAAACACACGCATGCACACACTCAAACTCCTTCCAGGTATTTCTGCATTTCCTTTAAAGCAAGCAAATAACTAACTGGTACCTCTTCCATGCGTTCAATCAGCCGATCCAGCTCACCAATTCTCCGGTCTTTCTCCTGGATGCTCGTTTCTGTAATCTGCATCTTCTTATTTGCCTCTTCAATGGCCTTTAGAAGTCGATTTGTTTCCTCCTTCAAAGAAGGACATTTACAGCCATATTAACATACAACGTATAACTGAGAGAAAAAWTTTTAGGCCACAGAGGCAGGTGAATAGTTTTGAAGCAGAATTCATAAAACTTTTCATTTTTCAATGAATGCTATAGAATATTCTACAGAATATTAAAGATTTCAGGCACTTTGAAGTGCCTAGGTACTTGCTAGGTACGATTATGAAAATTTGAGAAAAATGTTTATACATTTCTTGGATATTTGTTTTCCTTTCTGAYGACACATGTTAAGTAACAGACAGAAAAAAAATGCTATTCCAGAAAATAATACTTTAAACACCAAATTTTGCCAAATTCAGCTCTGTACTTTTCCCACATTTAAAGAAATATGAATAAAAAGAATCAAGAGAATGTATCTTCAGTCTCAGTGGTTATCTATATTTATCCATCAGTTAGAAAAACACAACTGTGAACAGACAGGTTTTACATGTGATGGGATGACTGGGAAGGAAGAGTCCTTGCTCAGTAGCATCCATGTAAGCTAATTTCTTCCAGTCCTGAACTATCACTAAAATCAGATATTATATTTTAAAACTACTTAGAATTAGAAGCAAAAGAAATTAACAATTTCAGATTTTGAAATTTACATTATCATTAATCTGACTGTGTTTTAGCACATTCTTTTGTTGGCCCTCCAATAACTGCAAAGCTCAGTAACAGCAGCACAACAAGGCACAGAGATTGCAGAGAGGAAACTTTTGTTCACTCTGGAGCACTAGGCGATTGAGAAGTGACACCCAGACTGAACACCACTCTTACAGACGGCCTGTACATACTAGAAGGATTTCTTTCTCAGCTTTATGTTTCTTCTCCTCTTCTCGCATTTTTTCCTCATACTGACTATACAGTTTTCTTGTCATTTCTCTCATGACTTCAGCATTGGCTTCTTGCGATGATTCTACCTATGAGAAGGGGGAGAGGGAAAATCACAGTTGATCCATGAATCACTAGAACACTGCTGATATCAAGAAAAAGGAGCTCACATAATGCAAAGGCAGCACCTTGAACTTCTGTCTACCTTGTTGTAAACTTCAGGCTGTTGCAGTGCACGTTCATTTACATCTAGACCATTTAAAAGTTCCTCCAGTCTATTTAAAAAAAAATCCTCCAGTCTACAAGTCATTCAAATTTGTACAAGGCACAGTTACATCAAGATAACTGGTTTCAGGTTGCCTGAATTTAACTGGCCATTGCTTAGCCATGGCTAACCAGGCTACCCCTCTGTGGTGGGTCATGGAAGTCAGTGCTTCCATAACAGCTTCCCAATTACCCAGTTTGCTCCCCATTGAAAAATAAAGTCTAATATTACAGAGGTATAGGTTAGAGACAGTCTAGATTCCACTTCTGTTTCCAAAAGACTGTGAACTCTCCAAGTGATGCTTACTTTAGACTGAGCCTAAGCACGGGTTGCAAACTCTGAGGAACTGCTGTGCCCTCCCACCTCCCTCTAGCTTTGTCCTGCAGTGCTACGAAGGGAATTAGATTAGAGAACAGCTGAAAACTAATATACCCACAGGGAGAGGGTTAATTTTTAACCACAGAACCAGAAACACTACAACTGGCACAGGGAAGAGGGCAAGAATAGTTGCTATTCAAAGGCAGGATTTCCCCTTATGCTGATTCAAAACACTCAACTCCAACCACACCCACAGTGATTAAGTGCTAGACAGGACGTTTACAGCTTAAGCCCATCTGCACTGTAAACTACAATAAAACAAAGCAAATCACCATAGCCATAACATATCTCTCATACTCGAAATACAGTTAATCAGACAAGGCTATAATGACCTTTACAGCAGTGTCAGGGAGAGGAGGAACTCACTTATCTGGGAGAAGATTGCTGCGTTCCCTGGAGGAACTTTTATTGACTAGAGCCGTGAAATACCTGGGTTTGATTATAGAGCTTTTTAATTGAAATGACTGAAAGATTTATCGAACCTTTGCATCTGTTTTGCCCAGCTGTTTTATTGCCGCATGGGATAACAACAGGGAATGTCATCCTTGGAAAGTGGACGGAGCTCTGAGAAGCTGCACTTSTAAAGCAATCACCCCCTCTAGCATCACACCCAGACCAGCCCCAGCGTGGCCGCAGCAGCTTGCGCRTTGTGAGCAGGGCTGCAGTTTGCCTAAGTTTGAGTTCAACATGAAACCACCAGCATTACAGGAAGCCTCTAAGAATCACATCATTCAGAAAAGGCCAACAAGTCAGCCCTTGAGTCCTTAAGACACACTGAACTGGAATATTATCCTTGGTGCTGTGTATCCATCGCTTCTTTTTCTATATATGTATATATGAGATTATATATACTGCATACATGATGAAGTATATATATATGAAGTATGAGGAGTATATATACTGTACCTTTAATTTCAGTAACTGATTTTCAATTTGTGCTGTTTCAAGTTGCTTTTGTTTTTCTCTCAGTTTTTCCATTGATTGCTCATGTGTATGTTTTAAATTTCTTATTTGCTCCCTTATATCAGTATTCTCCAAAGTAACATCCACTAGAGTTTTCTAGAAGAAACAGACAAAGCACATATTAAAATTACAAATAATTGGGTGAAAGAATATAGTCAAACAGTAAGGCACAGGCAGAACATTTAGAAGTTTCCTGATTTGTCGGTGCTGTGGAAGAGCTCTGCAAGCTTTAACATTTTCAATTCTTTTTTGTTGTCATTGTATTTGGTTTGCTAAAAAAGTATTTCCACAAGGAATATGCTAACTCAAGTCAAGCCCCGGAACACTATGAACAAAGAAAGAACGTGGATTAATTTCAGTATAAATGTTCCTTAACAGTCTCTCCGAGAACCACTCCATATATATTAAACACGCTAGACTGAAAAGAGTGCATCATRCAAGAGGGGAGAAGTATGAGTTCACATCAGCTGTCTGAGAACTTGCAAACAGAAAGTGCATTCCCTCTTCCCACCTTTTGCCACTCTCAGTACATCTCACAGCTATGCAAAACTTCACTAGTGTTTAGCTTTCAAACATGCCACATCCATTTCTACTAAAGGTACAAATAAGTGAGGAGACATGCTGTTTTCCGCAATATAAGATAAATCACATTTTCAACTTAGATATTTCACAAACGCGAGGCTAGTGACATTAGTTTGCCACAGTTCAGTATATTTTCTATTTTATACTATTTTTCTAGGTTTTTAAAAAACACAGTTGCTGGATTTTGTTTTCTTATTTTCCTCTTAGCTGCCTCAAATATACAGGGCAGTGCTTCAAGGGCATGTTTAATGTTAGAATCTCTATTTGACATCCATGTTTTATGCATACATTCAAATTCATGTCAGAAGAGGCAACTGTCAGCTGTGAAATATCTGTTAAAAATGTACCTGCAAGTCTATTGAAGCTGATGTCAAGGAGCTGTTCATTTCACTGAAGCTGTCTAAGGCTGCAGCCTGCACTCGCACATGATTCTCTAAGGATTCCTGATGAGCATTTGTCACCTAAGCAGGAAAAAAATTGTAAAATAATGCTGAAGTTTATCTATTCTTTCAAAAGGTGCTACAAAAGGGAAACAGACATGGTTGATTTTCACAATCAAGGATGCTTAAAATATACAGATCCCCAGAGGTATAGGTCCTTTACCTGAAAACAAACAAACATAACCTGTAATTTAAATATGCAAACAGAAACATGACACCAGTATTTGCATTTATTGTTAGCCTGTAATCCCTCCAAAAATTGTCCTTTTTGAAGAAGCAAGAGGACACTTTGCTGATGTGAGTCCTGCAAGTTGCTACACAAGGAGTGGGCTGACCCTGAGATGTCACAGGATGGAGGCTGGGCGAAGGCAAGGAACGTAGCAGCCTAGAAAGCTTTAGGTAAACTGCACCATGGCCTCAGTCACAAAAGAAATGATTAATCAGGTGCGTAAGGAGACAAACATCAGGAAGGCTCAAGGATGAAACAACGGGAAGCAGGTAGGAGAACTCAAATGCAGAGCTTTGTTGTGTGAGAATTTGTCATGTCTGGTCATGTACGTAGATGTACACAAACACAATGAAAAGAGGAGGTAAAGGAAGCATAGCAAAGTGACATAAGTTATGGGAAGTCAGAGACTTAAGTAATATAAATGATTATGAACCACTCAGCAATACACAGAGAAAAAAGTTACTAATGAAGGACAGTCTGACTCACATTCTTGGACTCAGATTTGTTTCTTGATAAAAACATACAAACATTGGGGACCAATCTTGAGAACAAGTGGTGCACACTGATCAGACCAGCACAGGAAGCAGAAGTCACTGCTAAGTCTACATAAGCAGATACTTATGTTAGAAGAAAAACAAAACCAAACCAAAGGTCAAAGCAAAATGCTTTGGATGGGTTAAGAAAAAAGATAAGAACTTGTAGAAAGAAGCACACTGTCCAGGGTAGGGTATATGAAGCACAAACTTCATGAACAAAAAGTAGTCCTGAAAACTGACTGAAAAACAGCATAATGATCCAAACTCTAAGCTGGTGTTAGACAAAGGAAAGAGCATAGAAAAGATTTTAAATAGGATTTTAAATGTTTTTCATTCTATAAGGGAAATAAATAAGGCAGATAGATATGACATGCAAAACAATGAAYCAGAATCATCTGAGAATTCATTTCAGTCCTGCTGAAGAAAAAAAAAATCTCTAGACTACACAGGAAAAGTTATGCTYTTATGCTTTTGCTGTAAGTAAATGTATACTGACCTTGAGTTCATTGGTAAGCTGCTGTATTTTTCGTTTCATTTCATCATATTCCCCGTACATTTTCTTTCTTACTTTTTCCAGAGTTGCTCTCACCTGGTGTTAGGCAAATCAAGCATCTTTATCAATCAAACTTACTGGTTATATTGTTTATACTAAAATTTGATATTTTGTTTCTATACCTTCATTATTACTTTTAGTATTTTCCACTATTAAGCTACCTTTTTGCCAAAAGTAATGTACGCTAAGAACTGCAGGATTTGTCTTTATAGTGATGTGAATAAATATGTCCAAATAATTGTCAAATAAGCTATACACATTTAAAGCTAGCAAATTTATAATTTAACAACAGATTTCAATTAAATTATCCATTCTTCATTCTAACCTAATTGGATCATATAAATTTTTCTGTCTGAAAAAACATCCACACTTGAATTTAAYACAGCTTCACACATTTGAAGTGGTTAATTCTATTCTCCTCAAGTGTCCATTGAGGCTAAATTCTTTAGTTTCACTGTGTTTGGACTTTAAGGCTCACAGTTAGCTAAACAATACATCAACTCGAATTCATCAATGTAACTTCAGCTCTAGAATGAGGAGCTGAGAGCTCAATTGGATTTCAATTAAGAACCACGGGTGTAAATTATACCTGGCCTTTCTAAATAAAGGTCTGCTGGAAGCCAGCCTGCGGTTGCACGCATTGCAAACATCACAGGGCCAGACAGCTGAAGCGCACGCACTGTAAACACGGCAGGTCAATGTTTGCCCACAGTCTCTCTTCCAGCCACACACTCAAATTCCTTCTTTTTCCTCTCTTCTGTCGGACACAGCTTCTGTCGGACACAGATCTGGGACTGAGAGCTTTCCTCGCCTCTGCAATGCCAAGGTGAGGCTCATGAAGGGACGAAGGGAAAAGCGACCTCAAAGGGATGTTTGTGGCAGCTGCATACAGGAGGAGGGGGTGACAGGCACCAAGCCACGTGCTACCTGGGGTGTGCAGTGCAGCAGGAGGCYGGGACTGGGGTGGCCCTCATGGCAGCTCCTCACCCCACCCCTGCGCACGTGCCTGTGCTCTCTTTGCACGATGACTTGGCTGCAGAAGAAACTGTCAGCAGGGATGACGTGAGACACCGTTTTTGGTCTGCTGAAGAAGTCAGTCAGCACATCATGTGGCACAAGCAAGGGACTCTTATTTACAACTCTGATGATCTCATGTAAGATGCGACTTCTCCAGCAGCCCAAGCCTCACAAGCTGGCCTGGCTGGGCACAGCCTTTCCCAGGCAGCAGAGTCAGGGCTGTCGCTCAGTGCAGTTCCTCATTTCCCCACTCCCTGTAAGAAGCAGCAATAGGGACGTTCCCAGCTGTGAGCACAGGACCGAGAGGAGGGTGGCCAGGTTGCCAACACATGGGAGTAACACAGGGCAGAAGAGGGGCTGCAGGCTTGAAGATCCAGCAGATGTTTGGAGCTCCAATAATTACACTCCCTTACGCTGCTGGCCTGGTGCCGAGCTCCTCCCTCTTGTATCAACACTGCTCTCCTATGCTTGAATCACTGTAATACGATAAGCATTGACCAACAGCTTCCAGGGTGGTGAAGGCAGGTGGAAAGAGAAGGTCAAATTATTTGCTTTGGTTGAATTAGAGATCGCTAAGACTAAGACCCAGAACCTGGCAGGTGAAGAGATGCCGGGTTTCAAGCATGGAGACCAGCAGCATCAAAGATGCACCTTTCCTTCAGGAGAGCTCCTGCCAATTATGATTATATGAGCATGCACAGAAAAACTAGTACAAAGTCATCCTTATTAGGTTGACTATTTTAAGGCTGCCCCAAAGCACACCCAAGTGATTTTACTGTATCACCTAATTTGGGAGTTTTTTCTAAACTAGGATGAAAAGCAGAGGAAGAGGGCAGAGAGTTCATCCTCCCAGGAGTCTGTCTGCTTATAGCTTCTTCTGTATCAAATTTGAAATTATGAGGGCTTTAGCACAAGAACCCCAAGGTTTCTTTGGCAGTTTCCTCACGTGGCTGCAGCCCAGCCAGTGAGCGTAAGGAGCATCACTCAGCACAGAGGAGCTGAGTGCAGCACTCACAGCTCCCAGGTATACAGCATATGTTTAACTTGGGTCCCAGCAAAACAAGCCTTTAGCTTCAAAGTGGTTTCCCAGCTCAGAACCAGGTGTTGGCCTAGACAGGAGCCATCCCACATACACCCACAGTTCTATATGAATACAGGGAAAGAATACTGGACAGGTTTTGAAGTTGAAACCTTTGCTCACTTCTTTAATGTAGTTCATCTCTTCTTTCAGCTGATCTGCTGACCAGCCATAAACCACCATTTCTCTCTGATGGTTGTTGTCAGTTCGGTGCACAACTCCATACACCATCCCATGAGACAGCTTCCCTGCAGACATGCCATTTGGTACATGATAGAGTTCCTTAAAAGCAAATAAATAGAAAATWATTTTAAAAACATTACTTGAATAAATAATAACAAAAACACTGTAATATAATGCCAGGAGAGACAGTCAACTATAGGCAATGCATAACTGTACCTAAGAACACTAGTGCTCAAACACTTGGAGGCCAAACTGTCAACATTCATAATTTTTGGAAGATCCGTCATCAGCTGATCACTGATGGTACAAACGTCTATTTTCTACTGACTTTTATGGAAGCAATATATGCACAGCCAGGGGAGACAGGCTGCATCTGTGGAAAAGTAAAAGCACCTAACAAAAAAGTTACCTTGGCTTATTTTTATTCTCCAACATATGCTCCTTTTTTGCAGGTTTCTGTAGCACAGTTGGCTCTCATAGTTTCTTTTAACTCTTGCCATAGTGGAACCTGCCACCCCTCAGAAAACTTCTGCTTGGCAAAATACTGAAATTCACAAATTTAATCAAACTTTGTAGAGACTTCTCAGAAGAAACTGGAAATGAATCTTCTTAAAAAATCCTAAGGTTTAGCAAGGTTTCACATGCGGAGATCAAAAAATATCTAATTGTTACATATTTATTTTGTTTATAGAGCTAGAATTTCGAGGCTAAGGACCTCCAAAGTAATACAATATCAATTTTAGGGCTACATTTCTCTCAGAGAAGTTGCAGAACACATATGGCAGGAGCTGAGGCAGAGTTGTGAAATACAACATTACAGCGGGTATTTGAATGTTATCAGAGCTATTTGAGTTGTTGTAGAGACACAAAACTTTGAACTCGGGTCTTAGTAAGTAAGTAGAAAGGCAATTTTAAACTGTCTATCCTTATTTTAAGTGATATGCTGGAATTTCTACAGCACAATTTTAATAACTGCATGACTTATTTTAAGGTCTTCGCAACAGACTACTCTTAGACAGTACATCAATGCACTTATTAAGAAAAATAATCATGCAAAGAGTAGGAATTGTCTCCCTTTGCAAATAAATAAATGTCTGCAAGGTCAAATGTAGCTTCCTGACCTGACTACTCCCATAGCCTCCCTTATAATCAACTGAAGGAAACATGTTTCTAGGGCAGGCTTCTCAAATGAATCAAGTTGCAGAAGTGCTTATTTACCTCTCCTGATCACATAGGGTCTAAACAACTAGCTATACTAGTTGGAGATCTCCGCATTGTGTCTTTTAAAAAATAAAAACAAAAACTTAATTTCCCCTAATTTTCAATATTTATAGCCTGAGAATCTAAAATTAGTGATTTTTTCTGTTCATGAAGTTAAAAAGACACAGTTTTAAGAATAGAGCTGTTATTGTTCAAGTTTGCATGCAAAAACAGTCTTGTAAAGGCTAGTACTGGGAACAAATCAATTATAGGTAGTTTTAGTTAACATTTTTTTCCCAATATTTACGAACACATTGGCCTTAGAATATAGGGGCATTGAGAGGAGTTGTTTTTCCCTCCAAAGGCTGTTGTTCAGTAATGACACAGTATGAACTCTTATAGTTCTTTGGGACTCTTGGCTAAATTAAGAGTCTAAACAGTCTGAAAAATCTCTTTGACACCAAGCAGATGGAGTAAGAGATCAAGTTCAACATCTTGTATCAACTTTTGATCATATCCTACAAAGTCTCCCATCACTGTGACAGAGGGTGAGGATGGTACCTGCAGGCTAAAGCTCCTTTGGTTTTTTAGAAGCCAAACTAGCAAAATTTTGGTGATAATATGGGAATAAATATGTGGGGGGAAAATGAATAGCAAAAATCCACTGGGATGAAGAAGCATGGGTAGCAATGGACATCAGTTTTATATGGTAAATGTTCAAAGAAAGTTGTGTTTCTCCAGCATGGCACTGACAGACTTTCTCAACACTGTCAAGCCTACACTTTGCCTCCTGTGGTACCATTAAGGGCTTAACCATTCTGCTAAAGCAGGGCTAAGAGAGAACTGCCTCAGCAGGAACAGCTGATAAAGAAGGTTTCAGGCAAAGAATGACAAAACTATAAGCAACAATTTAAAAAGAAAGTCATAAAACCACTTAAGAAAAAAAATATTGAGCAACCTCTACCTGATGCCATTTTGAACTMAGAAGATATTATATGCAAATTTCATAGCCTAATAATCAAAAGTTACATAATTATGCATTAGGAGGGGTTTTGGTTTGCTCTTTAGACGTGTACCAACAAAACCTCCACACCTGGTATTTGAGAGTGAAGAAAACAAGCATGTTTTACAGGAACTAGGTGCGGATATGACTCAATTTTTTTTCAATTTGTTTGTGTCCAGAGTTGCGCAGTTTCTTCAGGAGTTTCAGCTCAGTTGCTCCTTTGCATCTGGATAAAGGGATTACAGTACTTCCATCTTCCAGATAACCAAGTGAATAATCACTTGGATGGTTTAAATGTCACTGAGGCCCCAGATGCTGAACTCATAAACCCGTTCCCCTCTCCCACTATAATTCATTTTTTAGGAGATGAACAGTGAATACCAGTAGCTACTGAGATCATTTGTGCCTCAAAACATTGGCAGAATTGTTTAAAGTGCAGTTTACAGAGCATGAAGATTATGATCAAGTCCTTATTTTCAGAATATTATAAACACATTCCTAAGGAACGCTTTGAAGGATTTTTCTCCCCATCCTTCAAGGAAAGACCTATAGATTTAGACTACTAGATTTGCAGCCACAGAATCACCCAGGGCACTTGCATATTTCACAGATGAACAAAATTACATTTACAGCTCATGGACAATACATGCAGGATTATGTATGTACAAAACATGACTGGCTATACTTTTCATGCAACTGTTCTAAATTTGTCTGTGGTCCCTCCCAAGATCCCCTTAATGCCTGCTCTTTCAGAAGACTGAAATAAATTGCCGTCATCTGCTGAGTGTTYCAGGTCTAACGTGCTACTTAACAGTACCAGATATTGTTTTTACTCCCCTTTGTATCACAAATCTCAGGCAAACACCTGTTAAAAATTCAGTACAGCTCTTAAATTTAAAGCTGTGTGAATCAACACCTATACACAGCAGCTCAGTCCTTACAGAACCCCCTAAACTCATTATTTTTGTGAGGGTCCTTGCCTGTCTTCACTCTGATCTGCAGTAAGGCATCTTGTTTAGTGATAGCAACAAGCTAACATATGTATTTAAGAGCACATAAATCCTGCAAAGCTAGCTAAACAAAGTGCTTGAAGCTGAAAGGTTTCAGATCATTTTGACTTTGCTTAAAGTCAAAATATCAGCCAATTCTTTAGAAAAGTTCCCAGTGCCCAYTGCTGGCTGCACTTGAGCCTGACCTTGCCCCAGCAGCCTGCTGCACCAAACGCAGCTCAAAACCCCTTCTGACGAAGTTGAAAACAGCAGACAGATGAAGAACTTGTGAATTTCTCTTTGTACCTAAACCCAAMTCTACGACGGAAAAAGTTAACAGCAACAACATACCATTTTGATGAGCACGAATACTATAGCAGCTTCCAGTGCTTTTATCCAAGCTGTAGCAACTGTAATGCTGCACCTGCTGCACAACATATACTAAAGAAAAGCGGACTGCATACTTAATAAATATTTTAGACAGTAGCCTACACCTCAAGGTTGCAAAAGCCTTGATAATTACCGTGCATCCTGTTTATGTCTCTGTCCAAATAAGTAGCATGAATAGCAAGTAAGTAACGTAAAGCAGAGACACTACAAAACAGACCCAAAATATAAGCTGAGCTGTTCTTCCGTCTTGCATATGCAACTGTACTGTGTGAGGTTTTATTAGCCTTACATTATATATGCAACACTGAGGGCAGATTTTCTTCTAATCTATCTCCATAATCTGTTCAATTAAAGTTAGTTACTCTCATGATTCGTATGTTCTCCCTGTCAAACAGAAAAAAACAAAACAAAACAAAAAAATGTTAAGTAGGAGCACAGAAAAGATATTCTATTTGGAGGAAAAGCACATCCAATGTCATGATTAGCAAAATCACAGAATCACAGAATCACAGAATATTCAGGGTTGGAAGGGACCTCTAGAGATCATCTAGTCCAACCTTCCTGCTCAAGCAGGCACACCTACAGCATGTGGCACAGAGCGGCATCCAGGCGGGTTTTGAAGACCTCCAGAGAAGGAGACTCCACAACCTCCCTGGGCAGCCTGTTCCACTGCTCTGTCACCCTAACAGTAAAGAAGTTSCTCCTCACCTGGAGACGGAGCTTCCTGTGCTCCAGCTTATGGCCATTACCCCTCRTCCTGTCGCTGGCCACCAGTGAAAACAGCTTGTCCCCTTCCTCCCTGCATTCTCCCTTCCTGAACTTATACATATTAATCATATCCCCTCTGAGCCTTCTCTTCTCCAGAGAAAACAGGCCCAGCTCACTCAGCCTCTCTTCGTACGGGAGATGTTCCATTCCCTTAATCATCCTGGTTGCCCTTCTCTGGACCCTCTCGAGAAGCTCCACGTCCCTCCTATACTGGGGTGCCCAGAACTGCACACAGTACTCCAGGTGCAGTAGAGGGGACCAGAGCTGAGTAGAGGGGCAGAATCAMCTCCCTTGACCTGCTGGCAACACTCCTCCTGATGCAGCCAGAATCCCACTGGCCTTCTTGGCCACGAGGGCACACTGCTCACTCATGGTTAACTTAGTGTCAACCAGGACTCCCAGGTCCCTCTCCGTGGAGCTGCTTTCTAGCAGGTCGACCCCTAATCTGTACTGGTGATTCTGCATCAGTACACATATGGATTTATTCTGGCATCAGTACACATATGGATTTAATTTAGTAAGCAATGTAAAATTTTCCTAAATCAACATCATCTGTTTACTAGCACCATCTAAAAAAATCTTATTTTAACCTACCATCAAATCAAATAAGCCACTCTTTATCTTTTCTCCAAATGCTAAATGCTTGAGGCTTCTGAAATATCCAATTGTTTTACTTTGTAATTAGTTTTACAAAGAGCCATAATGTTGTTATTTAGGTTACATATTTCTTGTCCAGTAAATTGAGAAGTTTGTAATATTGAGCTCACCAAAAAATGTTACTGTGCTGTGAGAAAAGACAGTTGTGTTTCTCTATATTCCTCCACAGTTCATGAAATTCATGTTAAATTTAGCGATGCTTCAAACAAAAATAGTATTAAAATATGGAAAATGTGCCAAGAGACAAGCATGAGTGCTCTCAAACTGGTGATGCTAAATAAGAAGTATCTTTTAAACATATTCCAACTTCTAAGCTCCTGAAAATGTTGTAGAAGTTAGGTGCCCATCTCAAAATAGAAAGGACAGGCACTGCCCACACACACAGTCACATTTAATCAATGAAATCTTCCTCCAGAACATCAATGTTTATACACTCAGAAAATGAGATACAGCAAATATAGCAGTAGCCACAGAAGTCAGAGCAATTTTTTCTATGGTCTTCATGCAGTGTTGCATTTAATGAAGGAGTCACTTRATTAGTACACATCAATATCAAGCAGTCAATGCTAAAAATAATGCATCTCAAGATATACACAGCCAGAGTACCAACCAGATTAATGTTCTATCAAACTAAGACACTCCAAGCAATACATAAGCAAGCAATGTTATGTACTCATATAAGGATACTGATTTAAGCCTTAACACTGCTCAAACTGCTGAAAGCTACAAATACAAGGGAGACAAATTTCTAGAGTGTTATCCTGCTTTCAATCTCTTGCCAGGTGCCAACTGAAAGAGGAACAAAATAGTCCATCTACACAYATGCCCACAGTCTGCGCTCGAACACCTAGCTGCAGCTTGCACTGACACTTCCAAATTTAGGCGTGACTGAACTGCATGGAGAAAGGTACTTAGAGATAAAAAGAAAATGATCCCAAACACAGACAACAGAATTGTCTGGCAGCATTTTGTTATTCACAGCAACTGATTTTGCATACAGTCTGATGAAGACAATATTCCTTTGTACTTCCTGGTGAAGTAAACACCCTCATGTAACTGTCACCCATTGTCCAACTCTAACTGAAAAGATGCAGAGAAGGTTTCAGAATCCCTCTAGCTACAGTGCAAGCAATTCAGAGGTACTTAACTGCAGGCTTCTAGCTTGGAAGAAGCAAAGAAACAAACCTCTACCTGTGATGTTAGTTCCCATGTTTCTTTCAGGGTCTTGCAGTCTAAATATACATATAAAAACCCAGCCTGACATACAGGAGYACAAGCTCTCCTGGTGGTTTTTGAGATCACCCTCTAACTGGGAACCATCTGCCCGTCTTTCACAGAGCGGGGAGAGACAGTCCCACTAGATCAATGCCTGCAGCAATTTTGTTGCAACAGAAGTGCCTAACTCCATCCCTTTATTTAATTTCCTAGGCTATTTCATTGTTATTTCACAGGCACACATTGATTAAAAAAATCTGTTTAAATGTCATCTTATATGTATGGGTAATTTTATGTGTAAGTCCAATAGTTAGGACAGACTTAAGGAAATATAGCATACATTTTCCGCTGAACTTGGACTGCAATGGAAAAGGCTACMTTAACAGTTACTCATACAATCAATAAATACTGAGACTCAGATCTGATCTGACATCAAGCACCAAAACAAGGTCTTGGGAGTATTAGTAACCSAGATAGAGCTTGACTGTTCACTAGCTGATTTTGCAAAGAAAAATTTTCCTARCAGTGCGCAGTGCAGAGGTGCTACCATTCATGGAAGACAAGTAGAAAACCAACAAACGGTCAGAACAACGTTGCAATGTCACATTAGGGCAGCTCAAAATCAGCTCCTTCCCATGAAAGATTACAAAGGGAAGATTACAACCAAACATCAGGCCAGGGTGTATTTATAGTTCCCTGGCATTCATTGCTGTTGTCCCTGCTCTCCTGCCTGGCAGTGGGCAGAAGCAGGACACATCTGCAGGTCCCACGTGCCAGGGATGGGGCCAGGGATGGGGCCAGGAGTGCCCCGCTCCAGCAGAGCCTGCACATGCTGGCCACCCCTGTGCACCAYGCAGGGCTTTCTGATCATCAACTACATTTTCCAAATGCTTTTCTGTTATTTTTATTCTCCCAGCATTTGGTTCTTGGCAGAGCTGGATTTTTTGACCTTAAACTGTAAAGTGCAGGGCAGGGAAGTGTATGGTTCCCTAATCTCTTTTCACTGTCCCTGTTCAGAAAAGTGACATARTTCTCATGGAGGTGTTCGAGGATTACCTAACATTTATGAAATTTTGTTGCTCTCAGAGCACTTTAAGGAATTTCATTAATACTAAAGATCAGATCAGTTCAGCGTGGGTGGATCATCAGAGATACTGGACCACTGTCTGTAGGAGATACACTTATCTTACTGCAAACTTCAAAAAAATGCATCACAGCTGACTAAATTATAGACCTGGGTGCACTACAGGTTATATAGTAACTAATTCAAGTACATAAAGCAATACATTATGGAGGCAATAAAAATCTACCAGCAGTAAATTACTGTCTTGTTTTAGAGGCTAAGGAAAAAATAGTTCATCATCAGTGATTTTTTTGTAGTTGCTTCTACACATTATGGCTACACAATCTGTGAGGATACTTTCTGGATTACACACAGGTTGYGGGACACAAGTCAATAACACAATTAGCACACATGGTTTTTAACTACTGTTAAGACTAMTCAGATACCATCTAGTGCTGAGATCTTTCTATATACTTCCTAAAAATCTTTAGCTTCAGATTTTGTGAAAATACTGAGCTTTACAAAACTAGTAAAAACATACAGTAGTTAAATTACACAAAATTTTAGGGGGGTTTCAACTAAAAAGGACCAATTTGTTCAAATATKTATAGAGTATTAAAATGGAAATAAGCCAAACAATGTACTATGCATTCATACCCCCTTCTTAATATTCTCTGAAAGAAAATACACCTGCTGTGACTCATATTAAGGGAGAAATCAGCTGTCATTAAAAATAAGGTTCCATAAACAAACAGAAAAAGGTTATGTACCAAAGTGACTAAGAACTGTCCCAGCCCTGATCATTTATGCTTCTCTCTCCTGATTACACTATTCAGCACCGTAAAGTGAGTAAGTCAAGAGTCAACATCTATCCTCCTGAAAAATAAACTTGTCTTATTCTCAGGGCAATGGGTCCATACACCCTCGGCCAGTCCAAGGGTTTCTGCAGTCACGCACAAACCAACAGAAAACTGAAGGAGGTGGGAAGGGTAAATTACTCAAACGGCCACAGCTAAGCCCCTCTAAAGAGAAAGAAATATTTCAGATTAATGGTGACCCCAAATTAGCTTGCACTAAGGGCTCTTTACTCTGCCCAGTTAGTAACGTTTATAGATCCTCAAAGACTTAAAACTGCAAGGGCAATGCTTGAAGAGATCAATGTGTACAAGATTCCAGCAGAAGAAGTATCTGATAAATAATCTTCATTTTGATCATGTTATTTTGCATTTTTATTGTTTCAAAATATTTGGCTTTCTGTGTCATTTCATAGTTACTTTYATTCACGAGAACCACTAAGCAATTATTTCAAAGATATACTATTGTTGTATTGCTCCCTATTTTCATATTGCTCTTTAAACATGAGATCTGGTAAATTCAGCCAACTTCTTGTTTGGTTTTAGTTTATCAATGTGTAAATGTGGTTAAGTTGTGAAGCCTATCCAGCTTCCCTTTTATTTTTCATTCTTTAGACAAGTTAAAAGCAATCTACTGCACTGAAACAGCTCTTGAAGCTCTTGGCAGGTCTGCACYAAAGAAGGTTTATGGGTTTTTTGTTTGTTTTTGCTTTTTTGTGTGCATGATGCTTGCTTTTTTTTGCGGGGGGAGGCAGGGAAGGACTTTTGAACCCTTAAATCATTTTCTACTTCAGAACAATCTTTAATTCTTCATTTTGCATTTCTTACTAGTGCATCATGTGTTACCAAAATAAGACCCTTGTCTTGATAGGGATCTCCTTCTCTTCCCATGCATAAATATCAAATAAACCAGCAGGCATCTCAGCCATGTCACAAATCTATATTGTCCACATGCATTTTTGCTATCTCCAGCTCCACAGCTTAGTTTCAAAGCTAATTCACTGTGTGTCTCTGGGTCCTTCAGTCTTACAAAGCGACCTGGTTCCCATCGTAACTAATTCCTGCTTTTTCAGTTGGCAGTATTTACTCCTTACCTACACAGCAATTAACTTTAATTCTTCAAACTTACTTTTGTCCTTCTCTCAGGTTCCTTGGTTACTTGCTCAGGCTGTGACCCTTCATCAGGCGGTACTGTTAAGCGCAACCTGCAGACATTCATCTACAAGGAAAAGAGAAGTTTGCTTTTAGATTTAAAGAGTGTCATAAATTTTACTYAATAACATGCTTTATGAGTGTGCTAACATTCAAATTCAAATTTCCTATTTCCTACTAACTACCACATACCTAATGAAAAAAAAAATTTTTGAAAGTTGAAGATTCCTTGAAGCAAGGAATAATTCAAGGGCATCCCCATAATTACATACCTGAAATAGCAAGAATCAATTTCAGTCAACAACGTGTTCTTATGCTCTCATAAGTGACATTGAGAGCTGAGATATCGGAACAATGAACGTAATTTTCCAGTTTCTCAGCTTTGTTTACAGTTTTGGYATATTTTAACTCTTCAAAAAAGATTATTTAGAAACAAAAAGGATATGCTGGTTTGAATTCCCTTTTTCTGCTCAGTGTGTATCCAACTACTTAATCTGATGATACTTCTATACTGCCATCTCATAGAATTCAAACAGAAATGCTATTGAAATAGGTTACATACCAATGTATCTGTAAAAACTAAGGTTCAATCTGTTTCATAGAAAATTTGAGAGATCTTCTTTCCTATCTCATTTCAGAAACCCTCTTAGATCCAGGCACAGTTTGTCTTGCTGCAAGATCTGCAAGATCCTTGGTGTGATGAGGTTTTTAAAATGATGCATCTCATACAAGAGAGGCTTTGTTGCAACATTCACAASAACTTTTGGTGAAAGGCAAACATAAATCAACAGTAGATACCAACTGCCAAATTGAAATTCTTCTGAAAAATAATCAAAGCTTCCCAGTACTCTCCTGTAAAAATCCAGCTCTCAGYTGACAGCAAACATGGCTCTTAAAACTCTTCAATCTGTCTGAAATGTCTATAAAAAGATCAAGGTAATCTTTAATTGCAACTATAAAGGTTACTTGTTATGCATGGGCTCCTTACTGTTAACTCAGCAGTCAGCCATAGGCTATCAGATCTAGAACAGGAATCCCTAGAAAAAAAACAGTTTAGAGCTGTGTTATGCTTTCATATTTCCCATGGAATTATGAAACAATGGAAAGCATTTAAGAACACTGAGTCCTTGCACATTGGCTTTTGACACGAGCATTATCTGCATTCTCCATGAGAAAACACCAGATTCCTCCCATATACTGCAGAACTTGAAGGTGCTTCCTGTCTATAATTTAGATATCAAGCTATATAAATAAGCTCCTCAAATTTGAAGCTTTCYAGCTTGCAAGATAATTAATACCATGTTTGCTCTTTTATTAAATCTCCATTTTCCCCTGCTGTTTCTTCCCATTAGCTCAGCAAGGCTCTTTCCTCTAAAAGATGTGTTTATAACTAAATAGGAAAGGCAATCTGGTTTCCTCCATCCAAGCAAACAAAGAAAAGGCAGTCCATAAACAGGAAATAGAGCTGGATTTGTGCTGTAGCATGCAGGAGGTGAGAGATGAGGCCAGCTCTTTCTTGCAGTGATTTCAAATTAAGGAAAACTAGACTAAAAAGAACAACAACAACAACCTGTTAGCAGAAAACAAGAAAAATCCCTGAAATCAACAGGAAAAGATACTGAGGAACACCTTGAAGTTAGGAGAAATTCAGTTGCTTCTGATTCTCTGAAATCACAACTCTCTAGTCAGTACAGGACTAACTAGAGCTGTCATATTTACAGATTCACAGAGTAGTAACTGTAAACAGCTAATTATCCCTATACCTGTATAGCATTTAGTGAACCATGATTGCCCATCACAGTACAGCTATTTATGCATTACAGGTCACTATAAAGGAAATCACAGAAACACCTACGTTGGAAATACAGACCAAGAGCAGTATTTGATAGAGACTAAGAACACAAAGGCTTATCACCATTGAAATATTTTTCATTTTACTCTTTCTCTATTCATCTGCCCTCCTCCCCCCAAAAAACACACTTTTACTTCTTTTCTACTTCACTTCTGTTCTAGCTTCTTGCTTTTAAAACACTTCAAACTGGGATCTTATGTTCAGCAGTGTTTCTGCCACAAAACAAAGTTTCAAGGCTACACCTGGAAGCCTGTTGCAGGCATATGCGTGAGTGTGGGTGGCACTGGCAGCGCCTAAGCAGCCCAGCCTTGAAGCCAGGCCCAGGGAGGCTTGTACAACAGCAGTGAAGTGTCGCCCAATTTTATATGCCTCTCTAGGGCAACAGASTATTGTTTATAAGCACAGCACTTCCTCAGGGAAAGAGCAGCAATTACACACAGTAATCATTCATGGGGACTCCTGGACCACATTCTCTCTGAGGATGGAACTGAAATTCAAGAACACCACAGGGACTAGAAGTAGGAAATAACAGACCCCACTTTTTCCTCCAGCCTTCCAAGGCAACTGCAGATATCATATCTATGCTGCTCTGACAGCACTGTGTTTCCTACAGAAACAGCACGCCGTTTGTCCACAAGTCTGCTTGACCAAATGAATGAGCAGGCTCACATAGAAGTCACAGCCAGTCCTCCTCCCACAGCAAAACAGGCTCCTGCAATGCCTTAAAATGGAAATGAAATCACAACAGGAAGAGCCTCAACTCAGTGCCAAACAGTGGCAGAATAACGTGCAACTGAGGATGGAGGAGTAATTCCCACAAACAATGGGCTTTTGCAGAAGGGGACTGGGGAAGAGAATGAAGGAATTCCTTGTGCCAGGAAAAGCTGTGATTCAATTTCCTTCAGATGCTGCCTGCCAGTAAGAACACAAAAAAAAAGGCAGCAGCGAAAGTGGCTTGCACACTAGCTTTGTGTCAGCAGCAGAGTAACTTTGGGAGCATAACTTTTTAAAAGAAATAGAAAGCCTGTGTCAGGTATTCTGCACTGATCAGATTTTAGTTCAGTTTGCAGCATCTGTATCTTTGGCAAGCCAACAACATAACTGATTGTAAATGTGCCAATATTTTATGTTTGCACCTGGCTTTCTGACACCAATAACCTACTAGCAATATTTCCAAAGTTAATCTGACATCATTTGCAAAACAAATATGCAGACAGGAAAACAAAGCCTGGMAGGCTCACCGCTGTGTAAGAGCAAGCAGCAAAAGTTTGCTGAGTGCAATGGAAATTAACAGGTGAGGACATGCTCATTTATCAAATTTCTAAGAGGTTAGAGGGTTTGCATAGGACAGAACTACTGCAATATAGCACCAAAGGAGAAAGCCCATCTAGGTTAGGTAAAAATGTTAAGAATTCACGTCCCAGATCTGCAATCTGCATTACTATCCTACTCAAATCACTAGGGTGCAACTTCAAGACAAATACAGATGATAGATTCAGTTTGAGCTATGCTCTCCAGACTTTTCTCCCCCACTGACTGTTGACTATATACTGAAATAATTACAGCGCCAGGTTTGGAATCACCAACATTGTTATTAACACAGAAAATACAAGCTGATCTACTAGCACTAGTCSCATTCTAAGATATTTACATCTCCTCTCTGCTCTCCCTCAAGTGGAGACATGGTCCCATATTGATTGAACTGCCTTCACATCACCTTTGGAGTTAACAAGCCGGAATTTAATTCTCTTCATGTTTTCCATCTCTGTCAATTAAGTGGTTTGGGGATTGTGTGCCTAATAAATAACTTTATGCTTCGACGCTAACCAACAAGCTCAACGGTCAAGACTCACTGCCTTTGTCTAAGGCCAGATGTTTCATTTCAACCTTCAAGGGTGACAGCGGAAAAGAGCAAGTATTTAATTTCAGTCAACCCCCAGGAGTGAAAAAGTACTTCCTTTGGCCAGTCTGCTCCACAACCAGATCTCTACTACCCAACTTCCCACAGCACCTCGATTAAAGGGCACTTTTCCTGTGACCGCAGGCAGGGAGGAATGTGACATGCAGCTTTTATTTATCTAGAAGTTATTTTATCTTTCTCTACTGGCAACTCATTGTAAGGGACTTGCATTTCACTACAAAAATACAGCAGCTTCCCAATGAGTTTTACTTGCAAATTAGGTTTTCATTTCTTTAGGAGAATATTGCAAGTAAACTCCATGTTACATTGTTCCTGTGAAGTGCACCATGCAGATGCAAATAAAAGAATTAATAGTCAAACATAAATTCTTTTAGTTTTAACCTCTTTATGAAATACTAAATCAGAAAATTCAGCAGAAATGGGAAAGACATAAGACACAATAAGGAACATAATGGGTAGGATCTAAATCTTAGGATCTAAATTCTTCCACGTGGTGAGCAATTTCATTTTTGATGTGAATCTAAACTTCAGCATTTTCTAAACTCATGGAAAAATAAGAGTTAATATATGAAGGCCGGAAGTTTTTCCCCATGGAAAAGCCTGACTTGCAGGTTATCCCATCAAACACGTGGCAACATGACATTCTTCACTGGTTTTATCATTCCTGATAATCCCAAATTTTTGGAGTGTCCAAGCAATCCCAAAGCAGTTCAACAAATGCTGCGGCCACACCAGGGCGCTTCCTTGCGAGGCTGAATCCCTCACTTGATTTGCTTCATTCACTGCTTCGCACGTGGAATGGGCACCCACAACAGCAAGAGCAAGAAAAGGGCTGTTTAAAGCAGGGTTTCTACAGGGACACTCCGGATGCACCTGCCGGAGTTTTAACAACTTTTTAGAAACAATTTAGGGCCGATTAAGCTACCCTTGTTATTCATCTTGGCTGTAGGAACTACATAAGAACTAGAGGAGCTCGTTTGGGGAGACACGTGTTTCGCAGCAGCATCCAGGCCGCCAGGGAGCTTCCTCCTCGCGGGCAGTGCCCGTCCATGGACTGCCAGCACGGGGAGCGCAAGCAGTCACCACTGGGGCTCGCCCGGGAGCCGTGGGAATGCAGGGAATGGGACAGGGAAGAGAAGGGAGTGGGGTGGGGGTCTGCCCGCGCCCCGTCCCCACCCGCGCCCCCGCGCCCCGTGCACCTTCCGCCGGGCGCGGCCGCTGTCCCCGGGCGGCCTCCGCGGGGTGGTGGCGGTGACCGTGAGGCCCGAGCTGTAGCGCAGCATCGCGGCGGCGCCCGCGCCGCCAGCCGCTCGCTCGCTCCCTTTGGCCGCCGGCGCCGCTCCGCCCCCGCGATGGGCCGTGGGCGGCCGCAGGGGCCGGGCTGCGCGGGGCCGCCCCCACGCGTCCGCTCCACGCTCTGGCCCGCGCGTGGGCGGCTGCCCTGCTGCAGCTCCCGCAGGGCCCGGACTGTGCGCAGGAGAACCCCTGCAGGGACACGGATCCCGGCAGGCTGCTCCTGGGGACACTGCCCTTCCAGCGCGACATCGTGCCTCTCCTGCCCCCAGGAATTTCAGCTCGCTGAGGCACAGCCTGGGGACACACACACACCAAAACATACTGGACACACCAAAAGTGTCCATATGTCACTGAGGCATCTCCTGGGAAGGGGAACTGTTAAGTAGAGCCAGGGAAGGCCCCTCAGTTCCCATCTCCTGCTTGGAGTGCTCTAACGAGGATCCCTTTCAGCAGGTGCTCAGAGTGGGTTTGGAGCCGAATCCCAACAGCCTTGGAGAGCAGTCCAGAGCAATGCAGCTCAGAGCATGTGTGACAGCCTTGGTGCTAGGGTGCCCCAGCAGTTGGGTTGGGTGCCCCTGCATCAGCTGGCACTCAAGCAAGTGCTCTTTGGGATCTTCAGCTAGATGAGAAACAATAACAGGGAGATGGGAGCAAAGTGTAGAAGATAGTACATGGTACACAGAGAGGAACAGGGAAAAGCCATTCAATATTTCCTACCCTTGAGAACAATGGATTTGAAGGGAACTTCCTGGGCAGAACATTAAAGATCAAATAGAAGGAAGTAGTTTTTATAAAAAGCAAAATTGAATTATGGAACCTACTGGCACAAAGTACTGAGTATCAAAAGTATATGCACTCTCAAAAAGCAGTTGGATGGAAGAAATAGCGAGGGCTATAGAAGATGTGGCTACAACTCCTGACTCAGGAGGTCTCAGGAMATGAGTTTGCTTTCTTGCAATGATACCTCTGACAGTTATTTTTTCAGCTCTAGTGTGACTGGCTCTCTGCCAATAGTTGTGATGGTGACAGAAGGCTTCTGGCAAGCAACAGCTGTTCTCCACGCAGCCAGGAGCTCTAATACACAGCACTGTCTCTGCCCACAGCAAACAACGAGTGTATTTCTGACTATGGTTCATTATTCCCTTTGCTACTCTCCTTCACCCCCAACTAAGGTTTAAGCCAAGAAGTGACAATCTGCAGTCTCTCCCCTCTCTTACCAAGTGACAAGGGAAATACATCTGCTGGGTTTCAGACTGTTTACATTAGTCTGAACTTGTGGCCTTACCTCTGTCTCCCATGCTATTTTATAATCTATTGTAAGGATTTGCCACAATTCACAGCTCTTGGTCCCTGCAAAAGTTGTTGCACCTGGCTGTCATCCTTTCATCTGCATCTCTGACTGTCCTTTGAACTTGGCACTGCCTTACAGGGATGATCTGAGAGATTTGAAAGCAGAGCAATGCATGGGAATAAACTGGATTAAACACACACATCCCACAACTTCTACAATTCTACCGAAGGTACCTACAGTTACTCAGACTGCTCCCAGACTTTATACAGTGAGGTGGCAGCTCAGCGCACTGAAGGATATGTGACCAGGCTGCTGAGCTCTTATTTCAAAACCTGCCACTGCTTTGTGGAAGCAATCATCCAAAGGCAGAGTAGGTTAATTACAAGATGACACTACACTGTGAATATCTAGGGCAATAGTTGTGAAACAGCTAATGTGATTACCTAGAACCTGCAGCAATTTTGAAGTGTAGGCATCGTCTTCATTTTTTACACACTTCCTTGCCCTGCTAACCAAAATGCTTTTTGTTGTTGTTTTTGTTTTGTTTTCCCAGCGAAATCAGAAAGAACTATGCTATGAAGGAAATAAAACAGGCTGTCATGGAATTAACAGGCCTGTATATAAAATGTCCCTGGTCCCAAGATAAGCAACCATGCATCCAACACATTTCGTAGAAAGCAGGTCTCTCCTCCCAGAACAGCAAATCTTAACCAGAGTCCTGTGAGATGGGCAGCTTGACCTTACCTTAACAAAATGCCACATATAGGCATGTTAAAGAGCTGAATACACTTCATCGACTCTCCCCTCCACTGTCAGGCTAACTGCTGACAGAGTCCAGAGGAAGAGCAAAGTCCCACCCTCTCAGCTGGTATGTTAATCCTGTGAGATTTAGGAGTAATTGTAGAATTACAAATTGAGTGAGAACTCACACCTGTGGTCATTAAGGTTATAAAGTCCCAATTGTATTGTTATAAAAATGAAGAGTTATAATTAACTTCTAATAGCCTTCACTTTCCAGAGGGATTAGAAACTATTCTGCCTTCATCATCCCTAAGGCATGAAACATTTATAGCAGAGATTGTCAAATGGACAGATGCATGTAAACTATTTCAGATACAGCCTCAGTAAGACCTTTGGGCTTCATCACCTATTTTTGTCTACAGAGTTGGGTTTTTTTGTCTGCTATCCTGGGTTGCTGTATTTTATAGACATGCACTTAACCTATACACTGCATACAACTCAAGCTCTCTTCTTTGGACAAAAAYGTTGGCATGTTTGTGGTAATACAGCAACTGCTTGGGGGATAGAATCCCAAGAATAAGTCCTGCACCCTTATAGGCAATAAATACACACTATCATTTCCTGTGGAAGAGACAGAAAGGAAAAAACTGAGTGTGTTAGTACTCAAACCATATCTGGGTGAGTAAATAAGAGTAATCCAGGTAATCTGGATTTCACTAAAATCAAATGCTACCTTGCACAGTACATGGGGCTTTRCTCCAGTTCCGAGTGAGCAGAGAGGCACCACTCATTGATTCAACTCACTTCCTTTCATGCATGTCTCCCATTCAGATAGCAACTGGCCACAACTCATAGCAACGTGGCTGAAGATACAGGTGCAATGATAGAAGCCTATTTTTCACTCTTCAGCAACAGGATTTTCTTTAGTCAGTCCACACTACGCAAGCAGAAGGACAGTTCAGTATAAGTATCACATAAAAATACTGCACTGCAGGAACAGCAGCATTGTTCACCCAGGGGTGTGACTTGGCCATGCCAGGTAGTTGAGCTGGTCAAGGTGGGTAGCAGAGCAGAAAACAGGCACACCCCACCATTAGCAACACAGTTATACTGTTATGGAAGTTACTAGGTGAGCAGTTTACCTAGGGATGATTTCAGGATGGATTTAGGGAGGACTAAATAGTTAGGTGCACTTACTTAGAGCTCAATTAGAATGACTCAATATTACTTAGAAAAATGCCTCTCTAACAAGAGATCCAGTCCTAGGAAGGAAATAGATTCACACACCTAGCCACTTAAATACTTGGCCATGCATCATACCTTTGAATCTGAATAGCCACTCCCAAGGTTTCCACCGTGTCATCCTTCAGTGCCCTCTGACTACAAGGAATACGTTTTTCCTTCGCAGTGCGTGATGAACCATACAGTTAGTTAGCAGGAATACAGCTGAGAACAGCATCATTCTTGGTCCTGATCACAAAGCAAGAGATTTGAAAAATTCTGCAAAGCCACTCAAGAAAGAAATATTTCAAAATGGATCAAACCAACGTCAGTAACTTGGACCAGTACAGCAGGATTTTCTGACATTCCACGTGCCTGAGGATAATGCAAAATCCAGATAAACCTATGGCTTGCAAAAATAAGAGCATCTCTTGGGTAACATAAGCTGCTCTATAAAACAAAATAAATCAGTTTGAAAGAGTGCTCGTTATTCAGAAATCAAAGTTGCTATTCTGAAATCAGATTGTTTTCACAGTAAAACTAATCCAATCAGGATTCTCTCTCCTGAGAAAAACAGAACAAAAAGTAGTGGTTGGATTTTTGACTTATTCCCTAACTCCATTACCTTTCAAAGCCATTCAAGAAATTGAAAAGGCACAGGTATCCTACAACATTTTTTCTGCTTTGTTTTTCAAAACGTGTATAAAAGTTACCCTCTAGCAACTACTCAAGATTCAAGGTAAATTCAACATAACCAGAAAGCAGAGCGCAGTCAGTGGCTCTATTCTATGACAGGCTCTGCAGGGTCCAAGGGAGGCCCTTCCTATCCTTAGTGCTTCCACTATACCTCTGTAAAAACATTTCAAACCAACTCTGTTGGCGAAGTCTTCAGCTCCCTGATTTAATTGTAGTAACATATATTTGTTTTTGCAGATACAGATTTAAAAAAAGAAAATTTAGTTTTAAGCAGAAAACTGAATTTCCCCAAATCATTAACTGCTATGCTCTCTCCCTTATACCATAACTTCACCATGCTCAGGCATTTTTCTGCACTTCTGGACTACCCAAATTACTTCTTTAAGAGGCTTGTTTATTATAGGTTAATAGAGCACCATCCCCATTTCTGGAAACCTTTCAGAGGAGTTACTGATGGCTTGACAAGCTACTGGAGCARCTGCACTGAAAAATACAAGCAATTCTGCCAGGCCTCCTTCAACTGGCCTAGTAGGACACAGACTCCAGTTTTTTTGGGCAGAATCTCCTCTGCTGTCAGAGGAAACAGAAATGGCCTGTCTCAAGAGATGCCTCATAAAATCTTCTATATTATAAGTTTGTTTTTGTGTTAAGTATTCTAGCACAGAAAGCCAGCCTTCTAGGGCTGTATTTTTCCCAAGATGCAAGTTCTTCAGGTAACGTTCTCTTGACTTCAACTTTGTCCAAGGTTTAGTATAAAGCACAAGCATTCTTTTTAAATACGCATATAAGTGCGTATTTATGTTCATGTGCAGCATTAAATGTGTAATAATGCTGACAGCAGTTTTATAGACTCAAAAATACAGTGAAAGATTAACTCCTTTTAGTACAACTTGGAAATTTCAGAACTGCAATGTTATAATGTAAGCAGGGAAACAGACTGGGAGGGACATGTAGAACAACAAATGCTCAGAACCAACCAGGTTGGATGCTCCGTTCTCCTCAGTGCAACAGCACCACAGAACAAGAACAGGAAAACAC